TCCAGGGAAATCAAAAGGGGATGAGTAATCTCATTGCCCAAAGCGAATCGACCTTTTCACCTTTTGGTTTTCCCGTTTTGGTCCATTTTTAGTCATAGCCCCAAAAAGCTAACTTTCTATTTCCGGGTCCCTCGGGCAACTGAGTAATTCTTGTTCATTTTTCCCATCCAGCTCAGCTTTTGAGTCCGATCGGGCCATTGCAGCGCACGTGTCCAGGTGGTGCCTGGGGTGTGGGGCCCAGTTTGCTGCCTGAGGTGTGTGTGGGTCTGTAACCGCAAAGGCGCCAAGGAAGCAAACAGAGAACAGGGAAACAGAGAAACAGAGAGAATGAGAGAGAGAGAGGGAGAGCCGCCTACAGCAGCGAGAAAGAGAGAGCGAGAGAGAGACGACACGGGCCTGCAATCATGTAGGGAGAGGGAAACGGGCAGCAAGGACCTGCTTAGCACAGAGCTCGACACACCTGTTCAGGCATTAGCACAAGCATGTCAGTGGACCCCAGCCAGATGTTGGACGCTTTGGCTGACCCATTTTGAGCTGGTGCTTACTTAGAGAGCCAAGGAGCTGGGGTTCCAAATGTGCTACAGAGGGAGCCAAGGAGTTCTCAAGGAGTAAGGGGACAAGGTTCCAGTCTCGGGGTTCCAGTTCCAAGGTCCCAGCTTGGGAAAAACTAGGAGTCCCACCTGGTTCCCAGTTCCAAGGTTAGGGACATGAAGGGGATAGGTCTGTTCTACGGATCGAAGCTTCAGGCAGAGGCTTGGGGCTGGCTGCTGATCGCGAGCCGCGAGCCCAGACCTGTTTTGGTGTTGGGGGTTGTCCCTTTTGGAAGGTCCCTTTTTTGGTGGTTTCACAGGAAAGCCAAGAGCCAACAGGTCGTGGTCTTTCTGCTTTTTCGCTCTTTTCTTTTTTGCCCCTCATGCTTCCCAGGATCGTCGGCGTGTTTCTGAATGGGTGTCTGCAAACCCGGCAAACCCGCAAGCCCAAGCATCTCCCTGAATCTCCCTCGCTTCAAACTCCACGGCTTCCCCATGTAAGGTTTTGGTGAAAGCCAAAACCTTGGGGAACAGGGTTGAGGGGTCGTCCATCGATTTTGGGTGTCAAAATCGCGGGAAGGAGGAGGGGGGGGATCCTTTGGTTTTTTTGAAGCCCTGAAAAGGCGACGCTCAACCAAACGCGCATGTCCAGTGACTGAGTCAGGCGCCACCTCCGACAGCCGTCTGCGCAGGAGAGCTTCGGTCTCGACCGAAACTCCCAGGTCCGAGCTGGGTCAAAAACCGGGGTAAGAAACAAGACATGAAGCCCATCTAAACCAGTGGAACCCATCGATTTCTCTTCCAACCTACAGCTCTGTGGCGAAATCTATTTCGCAGCCACTTTGAAACCATGGTTGAAACCTTGGTATCTACAGGGACTCGAACCAGAACCCCGGGTTTCTTAGGTGCAGGATTTCGTCAGTAGGTGTCCTGACATGCTCACTTGCTCAAAGCGAATCGACCTTTTGACCACAAATCTGACCTTAAACGGTTTCCCCTAAAACCGGGTTTCCATTTTCAGTGGGGTTCCGCCAAAGGTGATCAAAGGATATATTTCTCGGTCTTTTTTGTTTTTTTTTGGTTGGGGGGGGACTGGGCATGGGGAGTGGTGAAACATATTCTGTTGCTCCTCTTGGACCCGGATGCCCAAAATGGGCCTCTTGACACTTCCCTCCTCCGAAGGGTAGGGTAAACTTCCATTTGCTTAAGAAGATGTTTGAATTCCCCTGTTGCTTTTGAAGGAACTCTATCACCACTGGACATGGTTCTATTTTTTGGGTCCAGGGGGACATGTTTGCAATCGGAAGTAAAGCAAGACGAGCACGTTGTGCGCTCGAGACGTGGCTTGGGATTCGAAGATGACCCTGTTGACCTCGTCCCAAATGAGCCCGTCGAAGCGGAAGCGGGAAGGATCTGTCAGCCGGTTTTTACGGAGATCGTATGCGCGCGTCTTTGTTAAGGGGTATCACAAAATAAGTCAAGAAATCAAGACATCAATAAATCAATAAATAGACGAAGAAATAAAGCCGCAAACAAACATACCCCCAACAAAATACAACACCACATGGCGGGTGCCTGATGTTGACCCCCACCGTCTGTCTTTGGGTAAGGGCCACCACTTGGAAGGTAATCAAGGGCTGGCTTTGAGAGATGCGGCAGGAGGCAAAGCTACACCAGCGCGGAGTCTATCTTCCGAGAGATGCTGGAGCATGCCGTGGTGCCCTCGGGCCTTGAGAGAACTTGGGGTTTAGGTGGCCATCTTTTTTGCAAGACGACATCCAAGGCTCATTCGCCAAACCGTTGTTGCTAGCCGTTGAGCTGGGGGCCCGGTATCCGAATTTGCTCAAGATGGAGCCTTTCGGAGCTGACTGGAGCTTTGGTTCGGGAAACGGGCGTGGGTCAAAAATAATGAGGAACCACGAAATTGAACCCTATCAAATGGAAACAAGCACAAGAACCTGCAGTCTCTTAATTTTGACCCATCGCCAAATGGCGGGCGTTTGTGTCACAGCCGCCAGCCCCGGGCCCCGGGCTTCGGGCCCCCGAGGCTCCCACGCCCTTCGTCCTGCGCGCGTTGGGCCGGGCCGTAGGTGCCGAGAGGCGGGGTGGGTGGGGGTTCCCCACCGGTGGTTTTCCTGTTGGCTTCCCTTTGGCTCACTTCCTGAGTTCATGAGCTTTAAACTTTTTGGGAAGACCATTTTGGTGGTAAATATAAAGTTTGGACTTTTTTTGGGCCATCCACTCAGCCAGTGAGTTTGAGAACGAGTATGGCTCCCTTTCTGGAAAGCTCGCGCCTAAGAAACCCGTGCTGATGACCCCCCGGAAAATTCTACCGGCAACTCGGTTTCATGGTTTCAAAGTGAGGCGAAATGGATCTCGCAATGCCATTTCCCAAAAGCGAACATGGTGGATCACTTTCTGCGGGGGGAAAAAAAACAACGCCCAGGGAGTGATCCGGATCCCCTCCATGGGGCCCATGAAAATCAAGCAGGCGCAGGGATGGATCGCAAACGAGGGGATGGCCATCTACCCACTTACCAGCAACACTTTGCACAAATGCAGCTTTCCAATCGCAGAGAATCCGAGGTAAAGGACAATTGTCCGGAGTGAGCGCGAATGGTCCTTGAAGCTTCGCGGGGTCGGTTTCTTCACATGAGATCTTTGGAACCCCTCTCCTTTAAACACACTTTGGGGATTTTGCGGGGAAGTTTTGGACAGCCCTTTCTATTCAATTCTGGCGCAGGTTTTCCTGCATATTGGGCTGCAATGGGCTCGGTTCGTTTCTCGGTTCATCTTCAGCAAAGAGTTCATTTTCCGATACAAGAGGCGGCTGACTCGTCAAAATGACGGTTGGTGACCCCTTGAATGGGTGACCCTTCGACGTCACCCAAACAAAAGGAGGGTGGCCCGTTGAATGGATTCGATGACAAACAGATTACATTCGGATGCGAGAAGGTGAGTATTGTCCTTGCATGCTGGATCCCGTTTATAAGAACCCATTTATTGGTTCCCTCAATGTTGGTTCAAATCTCCAATCCAAGCCAGCCTTTTGGGACCCAATTCGAGGCCAGGAACTTCCATTTGCTTCATATTTTTCCTTGTTGGTTTTGAAGGGACTCTATCATTACTGGACCTGTGAAAGGACGAAATCCTGCACCACTTTGAAACCATGGTTGAAACCTTTGTTGGTTGGCATTTTCCAGAGAAATCGAATCATTCCAGGCTTTCTTTAGGTGGTGCGAAATGGAATTTGTCCATCCACAGTATTTTTCCTGGTTGGTTTTAAGCAGTTTTCTATCCCTACTGGATTCTTTTTTCTTCCGGAACTCTATCCCCACGGGACACATGTGCATTTGTCCCAGGCCGAGGAGGAAAAAGCAAAAAACGTGACTCCGCGCCCAGAAAGTTCCGGGGACCGTTCGGCGCGCGCCGGACGGAGGCGCGAGGAGCTCTGCAAGGAGCTGAGGGTGGACCTTGCCGGGGTGCCGGGGAGGCGCCTCAGGACCCGGGGTGAGGGTGCTGGGGTTGCTGGGGGTTGCTGGGGGTTGCTGGGGGTTGCTTTCGGTTGGGGTGGCAGAGGCTTAGGCAAGTCCAAGCTTGTGGAGATTTCGACTCTTGACCTTCACTTATTTCTGCGGCGCCATCCATTTCGAGGTGCCTTTCCTCAAGTTGAAGGCAAGGAAATCCACAGAATGCCTTGCTGAACGTTCAAAGGGAGAAAGCAGAGCTCCGCACACTTCTCATCGTGTGTACTGATGAGGCAAAGGGTTAGGCCAGTTTTTGGTAATTTGCCCATGGGCTGATGGCAGCAATATGGGGCCGCCTGTTTTTTTTGGAAATCCTTTTTGGTTTTAAAGGGAAACCAAGAGGACGACAACTACAACTTTGAAGGGTCTAAAAACATCAGACCCATATATTTGGGGAACTCTTCCTTCTTACCATGGCGAACGCATTCACGTAACTAAGATCCATGGGCATTTTGTAGTACCTGTGAAGTGCTTAGCGAGCAAGGGCTGAAACGAGCAATTCCGAGCGATCCCCGTAAGTTTCCTCTGAGGGATTCCACAATTCAGTTTGGACACAGTTGTCGTGATCAGCTCGGGTGGAAATATGCGTTGAAGGCAATGTTGCGCTTGAAGGCTTGGTGTTTTCACAGCAAGGCCTGACGAGAAAGCTCCAGCTTGACTGTCCTCGGTAGGTCATATGTTTTGGAGTTTGGGCCACAACTCATAACCACCCCCCCCCCCCCCCAAAAAAAGAAGAAGAAGAAGAAGAAGAAGAAGAAGAAGAAGAAGAAGAAGAAGAAGAAGAAGAACAAACAAAGAAAAAGGAAGAAAAGACAGCAAGCAAGAACAAAAAGCTATTTGGCCTCCTAGGCTCGTTAATTCCTTAGCAATGGAAGGGGGCGGTGACCTTTTGGGGGGGTGTTGCGCAGTGTGCCTGACCTCCGCTTCTTACGTCGCCCGACGGCTCCAGTGGCTCATTGGGGGGGGCGGGGGCCGGCGGCGGGTCCGCGGGGGCGGCTGCGTACGCCGCGCGGAGCGCGGGGTGGTCGCCGCGCGGAGCGCGGCGATCGGGGCGCGGGGGCTCAGCGGCCTTTGAACGGGAGTTGTTTTTTGGGCTTTCTGGTTCGATAGGCAGCAGGGTTGCGGGATTTTTTGGGGCTTGCTGTATCCCCGATGCTCCGATTTGGTTCTCTTTGTTCGGGAATCCCAATCGGTTCATTCGTAAGAGTTGGGTCTTGCCCTACCTGTCGCACCAGCAAGTTTGGAACAGCATGAAGCGTTCGGCTTGTTAGGAGTTCTCAACATTGCTGCTAAGGGGTTGGTTCCGTTTAAGCCACCAGTTGGGTAGATTTGCGGAAGCCCACATCGAGTAACATGCAAACAGCTTGCGATTAGCTTTGTGGAAAGAGAGGCATGACAATACTGCGGATGGACGAAATCCATTTCGCACCACCTAAGACGCCCTGGACTGATTCGATTTCCCTTTTATATACCAACAAACAATGGCTCCCCCGAAGCAACCAGTTTCTGACTTTACCCCCCAGAAACAGAATCAAAATAATGAGCCTAGAAATTCCTTACACGCCTTACCATCACCGTTATTTGGCCGTTTGGATCGGTGGTTTGGTGGTTACAACCGGGGGTTCAAATGCCCTGGAGCACCTAGGTGAGCATGGCGTCCCTCAGGCGCAGGGGAGTGGGGGGGGTGGAGGGTTCCAGAATGAAATCTCACTTGCCCAGAGCGAATCGCCCCTTGGACCTTTTGGTTTTCCTTTTCTTTTTTGGGCCATTTTCAGTCATAAAGGCAAACTGTTTATCCTTTTTTTTTTGTCTGGGTCTTTTGGGCTGAGAAGCAGCTGGTTCACAGCTTGTTCCTCTTCGGGGAAGAGTGCTGCTTGAACTCCAGGCCGGGACTCTGCCTTACGCGGAACCAATGGTTTGAAGGGCATGGTGCAAAGCTTTGGGCGGGGAAGGGGCAGCTTGTGTGGTGGAGGTTGGGGGAAGGGAGGGTTTTGCTCCGGGAAGGTGGGGGCCTTGTCGTGTTTGGAAACTTTTTTTTTGCGGTTTCTGCCGGCAGCAAATGCATTTGCTTGCGAGTCATCACCTGATCTGCACCTGATGAGGTGATGACTCGTGAGGGATGCGCCACGCCTAGACCCGGTGCGGGCTCCCGGCAAGCCTGTGTTATCTTTGCAGGGCGGCCGTTCCGTGGATGACGAGTACCTTTGTGCGTAAACGCATGTGGGGACAAAGCAAGGGGGCTCTGTCATGCGGCTGTGGAGGACTCCTTCAATTTTTGGAGGCAGACATGGCTCCTTCCGAGCAGTCTTCCGGTGTGTCCGAAAGAGGAAATTCCGCAGAGTCGGCCAGCGGTCGGCGGGCTCCGGTTTTAGCCGCGCCGCCGCTGCCTTTTTTGCCTCCCCTTTCGTTGACTTTCTTGGGTTGTTCAAATGGGTATGGGTCAATGTTTTAGTCCTTGGTTCCATCTACCAGGGTCCGATTTTGGGGTTGCCCGAGTTTTGACCCACAGGCAAACTTAGCGCAATCTCGGCTGAGCTTCGTGGGGGGGGGGGGCAAGAACAATGGAGCGTTTCTTTGCGGTATTCACTTGCTGGGGATTTCGCTGCCGAGGCCGACCCGGGACCCGGGACACCCCGCGGCCCGTGACCCGGGACGCTCCACGGCCCGTGACCCGGGACGCTCCACGGCCCGGGACGCGGGACACCCCGCGGCCCGGGACACAGGAGGCCCCACGACCAGGCGGGGTAGAAACCATGCGATGTTGAGCGATTTCGGGCTGAGCAACCGCCAGACTCTGGCAGCAACGGGGTTAAACAATTCAAGGCGGTTTTCATGACCTGCCCGTCACATGCGGGCAGTGAAGATACCGGCACTGAGAACTTGAATTGTGCGTTGCAGAACACATATGTTTATCTATATGCATACAGATTTGTATTGCCTGTAAATAAGTCTTCACACCTTTGGAACCCACACCAGAAAATGCCCTTGACTTGTTGGCCAAGTTTTTGGCAAGCTCGAATTCTTGGCCAAGGGGTGTTTTCCACTTCCTTGCCCTGTCGCCATCTTCCCTGTCCCCAAGCTCCGGCAGCCAACCTTTGCTTGCAGTCGCAAGCATCACCCTCGCAACAGGTACCGCTCCCCAATTGTTCCGTGGCACCCTCAAAATCTCTGTCGGAGTTTTCCGCACCAAAAACATTGATCGGCCTCCCCAAACAGTTCCTGAAAAGTGGGGAGACCACTTTCGCTGGGCGGTTCTTCTGGTGGCAAGCGCTGCTGTGAACTAGTTAATGTGATAGTTCACCGCCAATAGTGGCGCAATTCTTGGACATCATCAGCCAAAAAGGTCTAACACCTCATACCCATAGATTGCAATGACACTTCGCATGAATAAACCCGGCGCATGAATTCGCAAGGGTGGCCCGCGCCAAAGTGAGATCCCATGACATGCGAGGGGGTCAGGCAGGAGTTCTGACTACCAGGTCCGCAGGACCAGGCGATAGTCGAGCAACCGTCAATTGGTTTGGATTGGTTTGGATTTTGGGCAGCAGTTCCCTTGACGCTGCATGGGGAAGCGGATTGTTTTTGGGAGCCATATGGGTCTGTCTTGTATTTTAAAGGTTCAGAGGCTGGCTTTTGCTTTTGTTTTTCCTTGAAACCCGACATTTGGTACCTCACAAAAGGAACGCGCCACCCATATGGAGCCAGGGCTCGCGCAGAGCCCCGTGTCGCAGGGAGCCGTCCGTTGTGCACCGGGCCTCGGCCGAGCACCAGCCCGGCCTGCTGCGGCCCCAGGGCCCCGAAATGGAAGAGGTTCATCCATTCACAGGATCGGCTAATTGTGGAGCTGCCGGATGTTAGTCTGAGGGAGAGTACGTGGACTTTGTGTCGGCTGCCCTTTCTTCGAAGCGCTTTTCAACTTGGCCATGAGCTTGTTACAATAGAGCCTCCCCTGATTTGGATTCACGCCCGCGGCAAATTAATTGGGTGGTTTCGAAATGGAAACCAGTCAGAACCTCCTATGGCACAGGATTTGATTCGCCTATGGCAGTTGGTTTAGTCATGAGCCGCAATCAAAACCCTGGGCAGGAGGTTAGCAAGGGACACTCCCAACCAGAATTGGGCGCCTTTGCCTGGCTATATCACCATCTGAGTACCAGGGATTTTTGATGACTCACCGGGGAGTTGTGCTATGCGTTGGGGGGGCCCGTGAAGGCCTGGCGAAGCCCCGCGGTTTCCTAGGCGCGGACCATAACTTGAACCCGCCCGGGTCCCAGCGCGGGCTGGGGGACGGGCGGGTGGAGTCGGGTTGGCTGGGGCAAAGGCGGTTATTTGTTTCAGACAGGACTGCGGCTTGGAACTTTTTTGCTTCTTTTTTTTTCAATAGCTTCTTTTGGTAGGTCTCTTGGGGACAATGAAGGAAAACCGAAGGGCCAGCGTACCGAAGGCTTAGTTACGTCTGGCCATCACCGGCCCAAAGGTCAGGTCCCCTGAGGGAAGGGGTTGCGACATCAACCACCCGGTTGCGTTGAGGGTCCCGCAAACTACGCGATTTAGTATTTACACACTGCATTGTCGTGGGTTACCGCCTGTATGGGTTGGGCATAGAGTGAGGGAGGGCTTTGGAAAGTTCCAAGCGTCCCTCGAACTCGCCTCAGCCCCCATAAAGAAACACAACAAGAGCCCATTTCCAAAAGGAAGAAGCACTCACTAAAAAAGAAGACGCTGACGCACCCTTTAAATCCTTTCCCCTCCAAAAAGAAGCAGTGGTTGACCTAGCGAGCCGAAGACTCGGGCACTCGCGAGGCCCCGCGACGTGGCGATCAGGTCGCGGGTGCTGCCTGGGATCCGATATGTTCTGCTGATGGGACGGTGGGGCAATTTTATTCCCCGGAACTCGTTTTCCTTTTTGACGCCCCCGTCTTTTTTGATAGGACACCGGATCGAAAAACATGGGCTTGCTGATGAGGGGTTCGAATTCAGGCTTCTCCTTCCCCGGAATTTGTTCCTCCTTTTTTGTTTGTTTGCTTTTTTTGGGGTCCCCTTTGTTTTCCACTAACCAGGCAAAAAAAGATAATATTTTTTGCTGGGGTCCGAATTCCAGGCTAGTATTGTTGCAGTGGGACCCCCGAAATGGTGTGGTGGTTTTTATGGTTTTCCTTCGGGCGACCTGGAAAAAAAGGACTGGCGGACTCATCAGGAGACCGAAGCCAATTTTTCGGGGGTCCGCTTTGAGAACCCAGCCCGCAATGCCACTTTTTGCTTTGCGCTTTTTTAAATGCAAAAAGGCCAACAGGAAAAACAGATTTCTTGGGGGGTCCCCTACACACCGACACGTGTGTCTTGGCACGCTTGGTCCGGGGGCTTGGTCAGAAGCCTTGCAGGATGTGCATCGTCTCTGTCTCCAAATAGGAGAGACCGCCCCCCCGAATGTACCTAGTTATTCTTTGGACTTGCCAAACCAAGAACTGCCTATCATACCTAGGTCCCCCCACTACTGCCCTTTTAGCCTTTTGTGGGGATGGTTCCCCTACTAAAATAGACTACAGAAGAAAAAGCGGGTACCCTTATTCTAACCTGTCTACTGGAGGACCTAGTTACAGAAAGGAAGCGCAGCTTGAGAGCCAGATGAGTTTGCTGAGGCCCCTTCAGACTGCAGCTTGTGCACTGCTAAAACGGCCAATCCGAACACCCCTGAGAGTCAGTGTCACCCTTAAGATCCTTTCTGTTCGGTGGGTTCCCCACGAAACATGGCAGTCGCCGGGCAACTGGGCAGTGGGTTCCCGCATCTCCTTACTGAACGTGGCTTCAAAGCGAATCGACATTTTGATCTTTTGGTTGTCCCGTGTTGGTCTCACTTAGTAAAGGTGCGGAAAGGTCGCCGTTGCAGTTTTTGTCGGGTCTTTGGGCACGGTGAGACCATCCTCAAGCCAACCGCCGTTTGAGCAACTGCCTGGTTTCTCATGGTTCTCCACCCCCCCCCGCCCAAAATCAAAAAAGGAACAAAGACAACTGGGAAGGGTTTCAACAACGGTTTTCCTCATGTTCCCTTTTTCCAGCCGAAGGGGCACGCCGTCGCTCCAAACCAAACCGCCCGCCGCTGGCGCCCGCGCGGCCGCCGAGGCTGCGGCGCACGTTGCAGGGCCCTCAGCGGGTGCCGTTGCCCCGCGAGCTGGTGCCGGCGCGGGGCCCCAGGGGACGGACGGGGACCAAAGGACCGCCCCAAGGAGGACCTGGACCTGGAGGGAAGAGAGCGAGGCCGATGATTCTTCTCGCCCACTGCGGAGGTCTGTTCACGTTTTTTTTTGGTGGAGGCCATGGGCAAGTCTTCAAACACGTGCGAGGGTTTTTGTTTTGCGCTTTTTGTTTTTCTTTTGCAGGAAGGCTTGTTTGTTGTCTTTCGTTTCCCCCGTGCTGTGTCGTTTCTTTCTCGCGTCTTTTTTGCAAGAAGTCACGGTAGGCCGTGTCTTGAGAAGTTCAGTGTTCTTGGTATGCGATTGTGGTTTGTATTCATTTCTACGTTCACCTAGTGGGATGAAGCGCACTTACTACGTTGAATGCCAGGGTAGGTCCATTTGACAAAAAGACGTGCCAATTCCCAGCGTTGAGTTTGACTTTGGGCAATCCGAAAATGGAAATCTCCGCCTAAGACCATGAGACATACTTACTTCCTCAAACATGGATTGCTAAAGGTGAACGGCTCCTGCATTTCCCCTACAGTTCCAAGATGTCGGGCCTCAGAATCGATCCGCCCTGAAGTGTTAAACAAGTTATGCGTCGGGACCAAGATCGGTGCAGGGGAGGAGGGGGGGGTGGTTACTTGAATTGTACATGATTGACCCTTACAGTGTCGGAATCCATTGTATCATACGTTGCCCATCCCAGTCTCGTCGGGAAGACTCGATCCGTTCGCGCGAGGTGGGTGTGCGCATCGAGCACGACAACGCGGGCCGGGCACCTGGCACCGAGCACCGAGAGAGCCTTTGGGCCCCTCACCTCGGTCCCTTCGGGGGGGGGCTCAAAACCTCTGAAACCTCAAGGCCCATTCGGCCACCTGCAAATAGACTTCAAACCCAGGGGTGTCCTTTTTGGGGGTGGTCCGAAGTTCAAACATTTGGCCATCGTCGCCCTTGTGAGAGACCCGATGCCGGCCAAAGAGAGTGCTTTTCAGCTTTGGGAAGCACATGAGCCAGGTGCAAATTCACGCTTGGCTTGAGTTAGCATCGGGCCCTTTTGCTGCTGTGGCTGGTCAAGAAGATTGATTTTTATTATTTGACGCTTTCCTGAAACTTGTGTGCGCCGAACATTTCCAGTGGTTCTCTTCTTTTCTTGTGTGTTTGGTTGATCCTTGGTGGCATTTCGTGGCGTTTGGCGACTTGTGTGACTTCTGTGACTTCTGTGACTTCTGTGACTTCTGTGACTTCTGTGGCTTCTGTGGCTTCTGTGGCTTCTGTGGCTTCTGTGGCTTCTGTGACTTCTGTGACTTCTGTGACTTCTGTGACTTCTGTGACTTCTGTGACTTCTGTGACTTCTGTGACTTCTGTGGCTTCTGTGGCTTCTGTGGCTTCTGTGGCTTCTGTGACTTCTGTGACTTCTGTGACTTCTGTGACTTCTGTGGCTTTTGTGACTTCTGTGACTTCTGTGACTTCTGTGACTTCTGTGACATCTCTGACTTCTGTGACTTCTGTGACTTGTGTGACTTGTGTGACTTCTGTGACTTCTGTGGCTTCTGTGACTTCTGTGACTTCCGTGACTTCTGTAGCTTCTGTGACTTCTGTGACTTCTGTGACTTCTGTAACTTCTGTGACTTCTGTGACTTGTGACTTCTGTGACTTCTGTGGCTTCTGTGACTTCTGTGACTTCTGTGACTTCTGTGACTTCTGTGACTTCTGTGGCTTCTGTGACTTCTGTGGCTTCCGTGACTTCTGTGACTTCTGTGACTTCTGTGACTTCTGTGACTTGTGTTGCTTCTGTGGCTTCTGTGGCTTATGTGACTTCTGTGACTTGTGTGACTTCTGTGACTTCTGTGACTTCTGTGACTTCTGTGACTTCTGTGACTTCTGTGGCTTCTGTGACTTGTGTGACTTCTGTGACTTCTGTGGCTTCTGTGGCGACTTCTGTGACTTCTGTGGCTTCTGTGGCTTCTGTGGCTTATGTGACTTCTGTGACTTGTGTGACTTCTGTGACTTCTGTGGCTTCTGTGACTTCTGTGGCTTCTGTGGCTTGTGTGACTTCTGTGACTTCTGTGGCTTCTGTGGCGACTTCTGTGACTTCTGTGACTTCTGTGGCTTCTGTGGCTTCTGTGGCTTATGTGACTTCTGTGACTTGTGTGACTTCTGTGACTTCTGTGGCTTCTGTGACTTCTGTGGCTTCTGTGGCTTCTGTGACTTCTGTGACTTCTGTGGCTTATGTTCGCACTCAGCATTTCTCGCTGTTCTTCCCATTCACACGCCGATGTCTGGAAGAGCCGCGGGTCCTGCGCTCTTGAGGTGAGGCGTGCACGGCGAGGGCAAGGCTGGGATGGGGGTCATGAGGCCGTCCGGCTGTCTTGGGACAGGAGGGCAATGAGGGAGATGGCACGGGTGGCTTTACTTCTGGCACCCCTTTTAGACCAACCTGAAGATGGCAGACTCAAAAACATAAGCACATATTGCGGGTGGGTGTGGGAGGTATGCGCTGCTTTTGGACGGTTCAAGCGTTGCCTCGTCAAGCAACTTTTGGTTGTGGCATGATGATTGCAGGGCCGGGAGCAGCGAACCTGTGAAACTTTTCAGTAGCCACTTCTTTGAACAAGCAGCCTTCATCATTCCAGTCCCCTTTTTCTTTGGCTGCTAGAATGGTCAACCGCCTTCTGACCTGGTCACTGGTTGACAGCTGGGAATCTCGGTGGTGTCAAACCTCCTTCTAGAATCAAGTTGTTTCATCCCCTGAGTTAACCTGGACTTTCTACTTTTCGGAAAGACGATCTTAGTTGCAAACTTGTCCTGTTGAGCTTCTGCTGCTCACTTGTCTCTGGATTGCGGAGGGTGCAGTTTCTCACTCTTGTGGCTTCCAACACGAAGTAAAACAACATCTTTTTCGGCCATTCCGCTCCCTTTCTGAACATGCCCCACATGCATGCCATAGCCTTGTTTTTTGCATACATGCCATCGCCTCTTTTTTTTGAGAATGGACGGGCGCTTGGAGCGAAGCCATGAGCAGGTGCATGCGGACCACGCTCTTCGTGGGTGACGGCGCGCCGGGCGCCGAAGGGGGAAACGCTGGGAGGGGAGGGGAGAGGGAGGGGGGCGGAGGGGGAGGGGGAGGATGCTGGTCTTGTTTTGAGTGTTTAATTTAACTATAATTATACATTTAGATGTATATTTATTGTTTTCCTCATTTTTTGTTGCCTAGACACTGCTGGTTTTTTCAATGGCACCCTTGTTTTTCCCGTGGCTGGAGGTCTGGGTTGGGAAATTGATTTGTGAGCTGATAGGTGCAAGTTTTGCACAGCAAAAGTTGCAGCAACTGTCTCATGTTGGGGGTAGAGGGGGTAGGTCGGGGGTGGGGTAAAGTCGGGTGGAGTGGGGTAGAGTGGGTTCCCCAAAGCTACTGCCCTAAGAGTGAACAGCTTGGCCGAGACACACCCAAACCACCAACTCAAAGAAGCAGTTACACAGTGGTGAACGTAGATGGGCCAAGTTCCCCCCCAATTTGGTTTGAACATCTCCTTGCATACCCACATAGAGGGAATCTTTCCATCTAGTTTCACTTTCACTGTGTGTGAAGTTCGCACAAAAATACGGGGTAGCTAAGATTTACCCCAGTCCACTTAAATAATGGGGTGGCACAACATAAATCTCACCCCTCGCATTCATCCCATGTTTGCAGAATCAACCTTGTACAGATTCGCTTTGAGCTTCAGGTTTGCTCTGAGACTCAAGATAAAACGCCACGGCTAGAAATGGGGTTGTGTTGTTCTGGGTACTGATGCCCTCCCCCCCCATTTAGGGGGTTGGTTTGAAGGCAAGGAGGCCAAAGCCACGTTGGATCCCGGTGCCAAACGTGGTAGGCCTTCAGAGCAGCCTGGAGTCGGATTGCCCTACCCTGGATTGATGGCTTGGATTGGCGGAGAAACACAAGTCTTGCAACCCCTTTGCGGTCAAGGTCATCGGTCCGCAAGGGCGGTTTATCTCGGTGGTTTGGGTGTTTGAACCCGGGATAGCCCGGGTAAAAGGGGTTTCGAAACCCTCACGGGCCCGCAGCCCTCACTCACACCCTCACACCCTCACAGCCGAGGCAGCACGTGCCTGTTGAGCTGGCCGGCGCCCCATGGGTGGGTGTGGGTCAAAGTTAAGCAGGGAGGGGGCAAAAACCGCAGGTTTTGGTGCCATGTTTCCACTTACCAGGGCAACCATTTTGGCATCGGTTTTGTGAGCCACAGCCACTTGGGTGTGGGTCAAACATGGGTACCCAAAATGGAACCCTGGAAAAAGGGAAGCGCCCATTTTCTGGAGGCAGCATAGAAAGACGTGGTTGGCGTATGGCTCATCACGCCTTCAGCGGCTGCCCCTTGCGGCGACAGAGGCGAAGACAGAGACAGAGCGACCAACTAAGCAACCAACACAAACAGCCAACCCAGCAAGAAAGCAACCAAACAAGCATGCAGACACTCAAGCATTCAAGCGCGCAAGCACGCACGCACGCAAGCGAGCAAGCAACCAACCAACCAACCCACCAACCGACCGGCCAACCAGCCAATCGACCGGATCAACCGGAAGTACAAAGAAGCAATACCTGACAAAAGCACGCAGTGACCAGCAAGCTGCACATAGGTCTGTCTTTTCTTGAGTGTACCCCTTTTTGGTTGTTTCAAAGGGAACCCAAGAGGAGAAACACCATCACGCTTGAGCACACTGCCCGTCCCCCGCCGAAGCAAAGATGGACAGTCCAAAAAAGGAGAAACACCATGCTGTGGGTCCCTTGGAAAAGACCGACCCCCGTGCCCTCAGACCCATGAGCTTCAGTTTGAGGTGTCCAGCCAGCCGATCGTGAAGCGAGCCGTGGCGAGCCGTGTGGGCGCGGACGGGTGGGTGGTTGGGGCACAGCGCCCAGGTGGCTGTGAGCTTCCACTCGCTTCAGACGACGTTTTAGTTCCCCTGTTGGTTTTGACCCCCCCCCCTCCCCCCCAAAGAGAAGGCGCAGCGGCGACCACCTTCCGAGGCCTTTCCCGAGTGGGGAAAGCATAAAAACGGCGAGCCTGCGTTGTGCCCAACGTTTTCCTTTTCTTTGGGAAGGGTCCCCCTTTAAAGTCAACAAACCAAACAAGGAGGGCCCTTTTTTCCCATGGCCACTGGGCATCTGAGTGTGGGTTCCTGATAAAGTGGGTTTTGTACATCTCCTGTTCGGGCCAGGTCGGTTGTAGGTTCCTGTTTGCCGGGTGTGGAAAGGCCGCACATCAACCCGACCATTTCGGTTCCTGTAACTTGCCTCCGAATCGGTTGTTCCCTCCAAGTGTTTTGCTTGATTTCCGTTTGGTTTCCCTTTCTTTCCCTTTGGACAGGCCCCTGCAAGTCAAACATTGCATTCAACATCATACAACCCACTCCCTGAGTTCCTGGACTAGACAAAGACATTTTGAGCTGGCTTTATCTACTCCTTGGTTTTGAGTTGGTTTTGGAAGACACATTTTAGTGGTAGACAAACATCACCTGCATACAGTGAACTCGCTGAGTTCCTTGACACTTTTTGGGAAGACATTTTCTCAGTGGCTCAAAACCCCAGGAAGTCGCAACCTAGTGGTAAACCATGCAAAACAGATTTATTTATTTTTGGGGGTCCTCTTTCCAGCCTAAAATTCCCAGGAAGTCGCACAGACGCCGAAGCCGGCCGCCGAAGCCGCCGAAGCCGCCAGGCGCCTGGGCGGAGAAGCCCACGAACTCCCCGGCGCTGACGCCGGAGCTGCGGGCGGCCGGGAGCCCCAGCCGCGCTTCGCGCGTGGCGCGCCGCGAAGCGCGCGCCGAGCGCCGCTTGGGCGCTCGGCTCGGCGTCGAGCTCGGCTTCGTGGCGGTCGTTGATTTGAGCCACCCTCTTGGAGCTATTTTTAGTGGCCCAAGACGACAGCAAAAGGTGAAATTTGTATTTCTGGGGGTCTTCGAGAGCAGCTGAGCCACGTGCTCAAAACCTGGGTAGATGATCCGGTTAGTAAGGGACGATCCCCTTGCCATACATAGCTGCGGATATCCGCCTTCTTTTTTCTTTACATGGTTCTGGGTCGAGCATTTTGATACCGGGTTATGATTATGACTCATTTGGTGTATTCCATGCTGCTGTGCGCATCCAACCGAGCGTTGTCCGAGATATTGGTTTGGATTTATTGGTATATTACTCGGTTTATTGTTGTTGGTCTTCTCTGTTGTTGGCATGGTTTTATTTACAATTGGCACGTTGCATTGAATTGGTGGTTCAGGGTTTGAACCCCTGGTTCTGGTAAGGGTAAGTGAGAAAACACCCCCCATCACCTCCAAATCTCAAAGCTTCACTTTTGTTGGCACTGTTGTACTAATTTTGCGTTGCCTTTTTTGAAGTTGGTATCTTCGCTTTCAGTCTTGCTTGTTCGGTTCTGCTCAATTTTAGTAGGGGGGGCAAACAAGCTGTTTTGCCGACATGCCAAGGGCTGGAAAGAACAAGCTCAGAACCACCACTTGTTTACACGTTTTTTTTTCTTTCTCCCTCACGACGTTGATTGTCCATGGGCACGGGTTCCCGTCCAATCTCCTTCAGATCTGAGTTACCCTTACGATGTCTTAAAACACATCACGTTACCCACGGAGCTCTCCAGCCACAAGCCACCACCGGTTCCCGGTTTGTTAGTAGGCGGCGCGCTTGCGCTGGTGTCATGGATGTCCTTGGTGATGGAGCCGCGCGGGTTGCCATGTTATACCCGAGTTCTTCGTTAAATACCGTGTTGTACAATGCCATGCCATGCAGCATGTTGATCTCAAGTATTTCGGGGTCTGCGTTTTGTTGCTTACATCTACGAAGCCATCTCCAAGAACTCGAGGAAATTCGCCAACCACCCACAAAGACCAGGGCCTTGGGCTAACTTCCTGGATAATTTCCTGGAAGTCTTGGATTACATGGGTATGGGTCAAAATTAAACCACCAGGAATTGGACAGCAAGTTTTGGTCCATGTTTCCACTAATCAGGGGCCATTTGGGGTACATAGGTGTCCTTTTTGGTTGATTTGGTTGAGAAATAGAGGGCGATTCCTGGTTTACCTGGCGGTTCAATCAACTACCAGGGCCGTCTACTTTCCCAAAAAGCACACCTCTGGTCCTACCCATGCGACTGTTTTGGGTCTTAGGCTAGGGGACATCCACAAGCTTAAGAGCGAGCGAGAAGGAGCCCAGCTCAAAGCGCCTATGTCGGGGGATTCCTATTTTGGGCCCACAGCCACGGCTGCATTCACGCGGCCCGAGGACCTGAAGCAAAGGCTGGACAGCCTGGTCTCTATGTGCCGCACAGACTTCAAGGCGCCTTGGCAAGGGGGTGCCAAGTGGGACGGCCCCTGGCAGCTCCGTGTTTTTCAGCTTGTCGCTGGGCCCTTGCACGAAAAGAGTGGCGTCCCCAAAAAGCATTCCCTTTTCCCCCAGGGTCAGCTGGGCAACACTGGGCAGAGCTTCGCTCTTTGCGGACACCTGCCCCCTCCCCGAACCTTTGCGCGGTTTCCATGCACGAAGGCGTCCCCCGCCCCAAAAAAAGCGCGCGCGGCCGGCCGCCCGTTCAGTCGCGCCGCGTCGCCGTGTCGTTGTTCGGAGGCGCACCCCCGCAGCTGCCGCTTCTTCCTGCGGGAGCTCTGGGAGCTGGGCCAGGTGCCGGGCGCCCGAGACTTGCTGATGGCTAGGGAGTGTCTAGGTCCCCCAGTAGTGCCCTTTTACCCTTTTTTGGGGGAGGGTTCCCGTACTAACATAGACTACAGAGAAAAAAGGGTAATGACCTTTATTAGAACCTCTCTACAAAAAGACCTAGGTGTGGTTGAATGAGCCCGAAGATTCTCGAGGAAAGGAACCCACCAGTTGGATGGCCTTATAAGGGTCATTCATTCCATGTCTCATTCCCTGCTGAGCACCCCGAAACCCCGTTCTGATTCGATTCCCCAACGTAAGTACCAACGAACCTAGTGGTTTCAACCATGCACGCTCCGAACCACCAATCCAAATCACCAAGTAGAGGGAAGCCTCCATTTGCGGAGATTACAGCACCCACAAATCAACACTCGGATTTGAAAATGGGACTGGTGCCCCTTACACGTCAACCCAAATAGCAACTCAGCTGGCGCAACTCTTTTAAGGTGCGTAAGGCCCTACTGTGGATGGTTGCAAAATCCAAATACCAACAAACTGTATGGTTTCAACCATGGCCTCATAGTGGTGCTGATGATTCCCCGGTAATTACCAACCAATGTTATGGTTCCAACCATGGTTTCATTCCCCATTCCCACTGCAAATATTAACGCAAACGTCATGGCTTCAACCATGTTTTCATAGTGGCGCGAAATGGATTTCGCAACCATCCACAGTATCATATACTTCCATTTGCTTAAGCCCCCCGGGAAAAAAGAAACGCATTTTTCCAGTAGTGAGAAATTCCCTTTAAAACCAACCCGGGAAAAAAAAACCTGATAGCGCGACTCTGCACATTTCGCACTGATCGCATGAGGGTGACTCTGTCAAACACGGGTTGTTCCATTTTTGGGTACATATTCTCGGACCTACATGGGTTTTCTCTAAATGGGGAGCCCTTTGGTGGGTGCATCCGTAAAAGGGTACCCTCAACAAGAAGGCACCCCCACGAGTGCAGCCCTATGTTTTTTGTTTGTTGGCAACTGGGTGCTTGGTACATGGCGCCAGCTTCCATGGGAAGAATGGCGACGTTCGTTTAAACTTTTTCGGCGGTGTGATTTTTTTGAGGGTCCTTTTTGTGTGCTGGGTTTCCATGAGGTGAACTGCAGGCAAGGCACGATTTTTTGTTGGGTTGCGCCTGTTTCGAGACAACCCCATCTATCTGCCAGGTTCCATGCCTCGTTTTGGGGTGCAAAATTGAGGGAAGGAATCACAAAGTCCCCAGAAAGGGGGTACGAACACCAGTGCTCCCTTGCAGATCATAGAAATCCAAAGTGGGGTCACCCAAGCGCCTTCTCTTTGGTCCCCCCCTTCAAATCCCCTTTTGTTGGGTGTGTTCGACACCAAGACTATAGGTGAAATGGTTCCTACCATGGTCATTGCGCAACGGTCACTGGGCAACTGGGATTTTTTGAGACCTTTGTAATGTGAGGGTTAGACTCCTCCCTTGAGTCTTGTGCTTGATGGCATTGCTGCCATCCCGAATTTGTTGGGGTTATCTTCCAGGGTCTAAAAATAGCGGACCTCGCGCTTTGAATCTGCCTCTTGGATTGCGTTCATGCCTCTTGTTGTGGGGGGGGTCGTCGGGGAGGGCGCTCGCGGGGCGGGAGCGCGGCTTCTCTGAGGATGAAGGTGCCGGTCAGCAATCGTCAGTACAGGCGTCGGGGTTTCCGGGGGTGCCAAGGCTGGGGGCCCTCTTGGCGTCGCTTTGTGACGTTTTTTGTTTTTGTTTTTGTTTTTTGCCCAGGGCGCCTGTGCAGGCTGGCTAAGTTAAGATAAGCAACAACATGGAAAAGAGCAGTTTTGTTTGCTGGGGGCCCTATTTTGAGCCACACGCACAACTTTGATCGCGATCCTGAAGGGGTAGAAACTGAAGGTGGCAAAAGCTGAAGCAGTCCTGGGGGTGTGGCTGGCCCCCGTGATGGGAGGGCACGGAGAGGGAAGAATAACGAGCTCACCTGGGGTGAGCCGAGGTCGCGTGATGGTCCTTCAGGATTCGGGGCGTCTTTCTTTGAGGGTAACCTTTGTTGGTGAGTTTTTAAGGGAAGCCAAACAGCCTCCCATTCTGTGGGTTGGCCGACTTTGACACAACCCCATTCCGCATTTCCGCTGTGAATGATAATTTGCCTTGCGGGTAAAGAGGCATGAGGTTCGTGGCAATGGCCCTTTGATCGGTTGGAAGGACTTCTTTCGATACTTTCAATTCCTTTTGTATAACGGGGTGTCCCGGTTGACCACCTTTCGATGTGCAATTGCATTTGAGCCACAATCAAAACGCGGGTAGATGAAGGTTAGTAAGGGACAATCCCAGTAATATATAGCTGCGGATATCCGCTTTCTTAATTCTTGAAGCATGGTTCTGGGATCACCATTTTAATACCGGGTTTTGAGCAAGTGGCTCATTTGGTGACTTCCAACCCATTCTTTTCCATGGAGCCATCTTTCCGGACCTAGACCCCCGTGGAAACGGGGCTCGCTTTCAACCGGGGCTCGGGGCTCGGGGCTCGGGGCTCGAGCCCCGACCCGAATGATTCTCCGATCAGCTGAAGCTTGGCCATCCAACACTCCCCAAAGTGGATGACAGGGTTCCGCAGGGCTCCCTGACCCGTTGTTTGCTGGTTTACTCCCCCTACAAATCAACATGGAACCCAAAAGGGGGGTTCCAGTTCCGAAAAAGGTGAGTTCCTCTACTTTTTTTTTTTTTTAAAGGGGGGTAGACATCCCCCCTTTTGGTTGCCAGTTTCCCGGGAGGTTCCGGGGAGACTTGATCGGAGATGGATCCGGTTCATTGACCGCTCCCAAAGCGGTCACCCTTGACCCACCAATGGCCCGGCTCCGTTGGACAACCAATGTGGACTGTGGATAAATCAACCTGTGCTATAGATTAGGGTGGTGTTCCCCTGAAGTGGGTCTGATTTCCTAAAGGGGGATACCTAAGGGACATTTCCCTTAGAAATCCACCGTTTCTGCCAAATGGGGGGGGGTTCCCATAGGCTTGATGCACTTCCCCTGGTCAGAGGGCAGCGTTTTGGTTCTGTACAGGCGCCAGCTCGCGGGGGATTTGTACCAGTTCGCCTCGAACTGAGCTGGGTCGGCTTCAAACTTGGGGTCTCCAGAAGAAAGCGCTCTGAGAATGCTGCGTCTTGCCCCCAGAGCCAGGTTCATGCTTCAGGCAACTCCTCTTTGGTGGTTTGGATTTTGGGATTTGAACCTTTTTTTTTTTCTTAGCCACTAAGAGGGAAGCTGGCAGTTGCACGGAACGGTGTTTCTCTTTGCTTTTTTGCCCCAATTTCAAAACACAGGTCCCAACATTTTGCATGTTCTGAAACTGATTTTCCAACTTTTTCCCGAAAGCATGGCGAAGGGTTGTTCCGCTGGGTTCACTTGAGTTGTTCTCATGAGAGTCATTACAAGGTGTCATTGCAAGGAATCATCATCATGAAAGTCAATGCAAGGAGTCATTGCAAGGAGTCATTGCAAGGAGTCATTGCAAGGAGTCATTGCAAGGAGTCATTGCAAGGAGTCATTGCAAGTCATTGCAAGGAGTCATTGCAAGGAGTCATTGCAAGCATTGCAAGGAGTCATTGCAAGGAGTCATTGCAAGCAGCAAGGAGTCATTGCAAGGAGTCATTGCAAGGAGTCATTGCAAGGAGTCATTGCAAGGAGTCATTGCAAGGAGTCATTGCAAGGAGTCATTGCAAGGAGTCATTGCAAGGAGTCATTGCAAGGAGTCATTGCAAGGAGTCATTGCAAGGAGTCATTGCAAGGAGTCATTGCAAGGAGTCATGAGAGTCATTGCGAGCTGCAAGGAGCCAAGCGCATGGAGCCAAGTGCAGGTTGCAAGTGCATGGAGTCAAGTGCAAGTTGCAAGTGCAAGGAGCCAAGTGCAAGTTGCAAGTTCAAGGAGCCAAGTGCAATTGACTTGCGAGGAGTTAAAATCTCTTCTTAGGGCGGCGGGGTAGCGCCGACGACACTACACGAAAATCGACCCTCTGCGGGGATCGGCGTGGTCGAGGTGCAAAAACTCGAGGTTTTTTGCGATTTCTGCGGTGCTCGCGCAACCCTCTGCGGGGATCGGCGTGGTCGAGGTGCAAAAACTTAAGGTTTTTTTGCGATTTCTGCGGTGCTCGCGCAACCCTCTGCGGGGATCGGCGTGGTCGAGGTGCAAAAACTCGAGGTTTGTTTTTTCGATTTCTAAAGTTCCCGCGCGACCCTCTGCGGGGATCGGCGTAGGTTTTTTGCGATTTCTGCGGTGCACGCGGAATCGGCGTGGTCGAGGTGCAAAAACTCGACTTTTGTTGTTCGAACTGGTCCTCGGGAGTTGTCTCGTGGTTCGCGCTCCTGCTCCCGGGGCCGGCGGGTCACGGGTTCGATTCCTCGCTGGTCCGCGGGTGGGCGTCGCAAGATGCTTGCGCAGAGCAACTTGCGCAGAGCAACTTGCGCAGAGCAAGTTGCGCAGAGCAACTTGCGCAGACCAACTTGCACCGACCAGTTTGCGCAGAGCGCCTTGCCTAGAGCCACTTGCGCAGAGCAACTTACGCAGAGCAACTTGCACAGAGCAACTTGCACAGAGCAGCTTGCGCAGAGCAACTTGCAGGGAGGCAATTTGCACAGAGCAACTTGCAGGGAGCCACTTGCAGGGACCAACTTGCCGGAGCAACTTGCGAGGAGCAACTTGCGCAGAGCAACTTGCACAGTGCAACTTGCGTAGAGCAACTTGCGCAGACCAACTTGCACCGACCAGTTTGCGCAGAGCACCTTGCCTGGTGCTGTCTCGCGCTTGCTTCACGAATGCTTCGTGGAGGGAAAAAGAACGCATCCTGCAGCGTTGGGCCGACCTCGCTTGCGATGTCATGCTTTCGGGCCAACCGTGGTCTAGTTCTCATTGCCGAATGTCGGTTTGCGTATTCTGCAGCACCAGGAAGCTGAATCACAAGAACAGAACTTTATCAACTTCATACAGCTGCAATTTGGCAAGGTCTCAGCTACGATAGATGTCTGAACCTTCTCCATCGTATCTTTCCAACGAAGGAACCGCCTCAGCAGCAGCCACACCTATTGCCTTCATGGCGTGTGTTCGCATGCTAGATGGCACGGAAGTGATGACGGCAGCCGAGTTCTCTGTGTGGGACGAATCTGGGGGTGCGGGGTGCTTCTTCGATGCGCTGCGGCGCAACTTGGCCAAAAGGTTGCTTCTGCCGAATTTTCGGCAGATTGCCTTGGCCAGTGGCTTACGCCGCCTGGGGCCCGAGAGTGCGTGGGAAAATGCTGAGTGCCTGATGGCAATCGTGCGGCCATACGCCGCAGCAACCGCAGCCACCACAGAGAGTTTGCTGCAAGCAGCTGCAGGTGGTGCCATGCAACTTGTGCTACAGCTTTTGGAGGAGCCACATGATCCGAGTACTGCTGCGAGGGGCTGCCTTTGGACCCCACTACATTTTGCTGCGCAGGAGGACCATGAGGACATTGTGCAGTGCTTGCTGGAAGCCGGTGCTGACAAAGACAAGGCAGATGAACTTGGCAGGACACCATTACATGTGGCTGCACGGGAGGGCCATCCAGCAGTTGTGCAGTGCTTGCTTGAAGCCGGCGCGGACAAAGACAGGGCAGACAAAGATGGCGCCACACCGTTGCATCTTGCTGCTTTGGAGGGCAATTTTGTGGTTGTACAGAGCTTGCTGGATGCCGGCGCTGACAAAGACAAGTCAAAGGCAGCCCCAAATGCCGGCACACCATTGCATCTGGCTGCGCAAAAGGCCTGGCTTCCTGCTTTGCAGTGCTTGCTGGAAGCCGGTGCTGACAAGGACAAGGGAGACGAAGATGGCAAGACACCATTGCATTTTGCTGCTTATCTCGATGAAGCGGAAGTTGTGCAGTGCTTGCTGGAAGCCGGTGCTGACAAGGACAGGGCCAGCGACCATGGCAGCACACCATTACATGTGGCTGCAGAGGAGGGCAATCAGGCAGTGGTGCAGTGCTTGCTGGAAGCCGGTGCGGACAAAGACAAGGCAGATGAGGATGGCGACGCACCATTGCATCTTGCTGCAAAACAGGGCCACCAGGCAGTTGTGCAGTGCTTGCTGGAAGGCGGTGCTGACAAGAACAAGGCAGACAACAACGGCTGCACACCATTTCATGTTGCTGCAAATCTGGGCCACGAGGCAGTGGTGCAGTGCTTGCTGGAAGCCGGTGCGGACAAAGACAAGGCAGATGAGGATGGCGACACACCATTACATTTTGCTGCATTCAATTGTCATAACCTAATTGTACTGAGCTTGCTGGATGCCGGTGCTGACAAAGACAGGGCCAACAACGATGGCGCCACGCCATTGCATATTGCTGCATGGAAGGGCCATCAGGCAGTCGCGCAGTGCTTGCTGGAGGCCGGTGCTGACAAGGACAGGGCCAGCGACCATGGCAGCACACCATTACGTGTGGCTGCAGGGGAGGGCCATCAGGCAGTTGTGCAGTGCCTGCTTGGAGCCGGTGCGGACAAAGACAGGGCAGACAAAGATGGCGCCACACCGTTGCATCGTGCTGCTTCGGAGGGCAATTTTGTGGTTGTGCAGAGCTTGCTGGAAGCCGGTGCGGACAAAGACAAGGCAAATGAGGATGGCGACACACCATTGCATTTTGCTGCAGAACAGGGCCATCCATCAGTTGTGCAGTGCTTGCTTGAAGCCGGTGCGGACAAAGACAAGGCAGATGAGGATGGCGACACACCATTGCATCTTGCTGCAGAACATGGCCATCAGGCCGTTGTGCAGTGCTTGCTGGAAGCCGGTGCTGACAAAGACAAGGCAGCCGCCAATGGCGCCACAGCATTGCGCGCTGCTTCAGCGCAGGGCCACCAAGCAGTTGTGCAGTGCTTGCTGGAAGCCGGTGCTGACAAGGACAGGGCAGACAACAACGGCTGCACACCAGTACATGTGGCTGCACGGGAGGGCCATCCAGCAGCTGTGCAGTGCTTGCTGGAAGCCGGTGCTGACAAAGACAAGGCAGCCGCCAATGGCGCCACAGCATTGCGCGCTGCTTCAGCGCAGGGCCACCAGGCAGTTGTGCAGTGCTTGCTGGAAGCCGGTGCTGACAAGGACAGGGCCAGCGACCATGGCAGCACACCATTACATGTGGCTGCAGAGGAGGGCAATCAGGCAGTGGTGCAGTGTTTGCTGGAAGCCGGTGCTGATAAGAACAAGGCAGACAACTACAGCTGGACACCATTGCATCTTGCTGCAAAACAGGGCCATCAGGCAGTGGCGCAGTGCTTGCTGGAAGCCGGTGCTGACAAGAACAAGGCAAACAACAAAGGCTGCACACCATTTCATCTTTCTGCAAAACAGGGCCATCAGGCAGTGGTGCAGTGCTTGCTGGAAGCCGGTGCTGATAAGAACAAGGCAGACAACACCGCCTGCACACCATTGCATCCTGCTGAAAAACAGGGCCACCAGGTAGTGGTGCAGTGGTTGCTGGAAGCCGGTGCTGATAAGAACAAGGCAGACAACAACGGCTGCACACCATTTCATCTTGCTGCAAAACAGGGCCACCAGACAGCTGTGCAGTGCTTGCTGGAAGCCGGCGCTGTGAAAGACAAAGCAGACAAAGAGGGCGTCTCACCATTGCATGATGCTGCCAAGGACAAGGCAACCAGTGGAATGACAGCAGCCCTAGAGCACTGAAAAGAACAAGGCGGCCAAGGATTGCCGACATTGCATCTTGGTTGCTGAGGCCAGCCGCCGTTGGGGAGTTGTGCAGTGGTTGCTAGGAAAGGGCGATGCCAAGAACAAGACAAGAGCGGCTGAGTACATGCAAGCAGCTGTTTGAGAATCGCAACCCTGGGCTTCCTTACCGTGTGGCAACCCCGGAGAAATAACCCCCAGTTCATTAATGGGGGGTGTCCCTGGTTTTAGTGGCAGACTTTTGGCATGTGCTGTGGCCACGTGGGATTCTGGGGGCAAGTTAGTCTGAGATGACCTGTGTCTGTTTTCCAGCAATTTCAAGATGGGGACAGCAAAGGCAGCCTTCCAAATCCATGCATTTTGGGATCTGGGTACCAAGGAATCATGGCTTGGTCTTGTCCCCGAAAGTGGTGGCAAGAGGAGCACCCAGTGCATGTCAGAATTAGGGGGCCTCTTTGTTTCTCAATGTAGGGGCAGGAGCTGTGGTTCCATCCAGCAGCTTGGGCGCTTCTGCGTGTCTGACAGACGCCGCTGGCTGAGTAGCATGGTCTGTTTTATTTGCACATTGTGGATGTTTCATGATCGGCAATGTGTCAACCCCAAGTACCCAAAAATTGTCAGGCCTCTTCTCTTCTCCGGACAGATGTGGGTATGTGTGAAAAAACTGAGGAGACCTCCGCCTCCAGAAAAGTTCCCCTAACTGGTGTGGCCTCCCTTTAAAACCCAACCAAACAGGATTACCCTCAAAAAAGACAAGCCCATTTGAGGGAGAGTAGCTTAAAGGGGCCGTCTCACCAAATGGAGGGGTTTTCCTTTGGTTTCCAAACAACAAAGAAACAAAACCAACCAACAAAAACCAAACCAACCCACCAAAAACAACCAAGAAACCAACCAACCAACCAAGAACCACCCAACAACTTACCGAAAAGCATCGCCCGTCGCCGAAGGGCCCCAGTTGCCAGTTAGGTGCTGCACATCCCCTGGCCCGCCGAGCTGGCGCCCTCGGCGGCGGAGCTGCCGGGGAGCCGAGAGAGGGGCGCAGCTGTGGGGCTGCAAAATCCGCTCGCAGCACTTCTAGGTGCCCCAAGGTGCCAACTTTGACCGTTTCTTTTTTGGGAGGGAGGGAAATGGGAAACCACCTAAAATAGACTACAGAAAAAGTTGGTACCCTTATTTTTTAGGTCCTCTCTACTGGAGGACCTAGACTTTGAATCCATGGGAAATCAGAAATGGATTTCCAAGGGTCGAAATGCCCCCTCCCCCAATTCCATTTTTAAGGGGGGTGGAAATCATGGTTTGTGCAGATCCCGTCGAAGACCAGATGCCCTTTAGAGACACCAACTGTGGACGAAGTCCATTTCGCACCACCAAGGAAACGCTGCCATAGTGGTCCCTCTGCAAATACCCGCAAGCGATGGTGAAAAAGCCATGCTTTCAAAGAATGGTTTCGAAACCCTGGTTGAAACCATAACGCTTGTTGGAAAAAAAACCAGGGGGGTTGTGATTCTAGGGTCTCTTGGGTGGTGCGAAATGGACTTCGCAACCATCCACCGTATGTCCGGGTCGTTGTGGCGTTCGGGTGAAAAGCTGGGGGAAAGAGGCCGGGGATGCGTAGAAGCGATCCAAATCCAGTGGTGTGGGTTGAACCATGAAACATCTGAAATGGCCATGGGTCAAAAGTCGAATCGGTTAGCCCCCAGTGAACATCCGCTTCAATCCACCTCTAAAATGGGTGGTGAATTCACCAACCAAAATGGGATCCCATTGGTTTTGACCCACCGCCTTTTGGGTAAGTCTGGGTCTAGGTGGGTCTGGGTGGGTCTAGGTGGGTCTAGGTGGGTCTAGGTGGGTCTGGGTGGGTCTGGGTGGGTCTGGGTGGGTCTGTGCCGTGCCTGTATCAAAATCACTTCATGACGTGAAGAAACCTTGGGCCTCCTGGGCTCTGCGGCAAGCCCCGAGGTCTGAGGACGTGTTCCTGCCACTCACGGCTGCGACCTGAGCAGTGGTTGGAGCCCTCATGTGGTTGGAGGTGGTTTGGGGATTTGAACCTCTAAAGGACGAGTGGGAAGCAGCCTCAGGAAGGTTCTGGCCAGGTTGGAATCAACCTCGTAGGGGCACGAGGGACCTTGTTGCTACTGTACTTAGGGGATCACGGTTGCGTGGGGCCCGGAAAGAAGTTTGTGTTTAAAGCCCCCCCCTTTCCAAGGACTATTTTGCGCCGGCAGGACAATTCGTGTTTAAAGCTCCCCGTGGGGGGACCTTTTTGCTACTGTAGGGGAGTACGGTTTAAGTGGGGCCGAACGACTTTTCGCCGGGGATCTGAAAACAGCCAAGTAAGTCAGCCTAGAGACACGGTATCCAGAGAGTACCTAACCCCTGCCCACCGGAATAGGTACAGGTCTCACAGGTATGCCGACAGCCCCCGGTGGGCTGTAAGCAGGTGATGCTGGCGCTCGATGCCATCCGCTGGGAGTTCAAGTTCAACAGGCGACAGCGGGTCTTCGCAAGTGGATCGAGCCGGAAAACATGTGGTTGAAAAACGTGTCTGGAAAACCCAGGCGTCAAGGCGGGTGTAGGGTTTGCGGTACTTTTTCGTCTTCCGTTGTTATTTTTTTGAGGTGGGTTTCGGGTTGGCTTGTGCTGGGACGTTTTCTGTGGGGGTTGGGTTGGATTTTGGGCCCTGGGGCCCCGAAAGAGTGGATCTGCCATCGAAGCTTCCCTTCGCTGGAGGAGATGAGGTATTTCTCCCTCTTGGTTTGAGAGGAAACCGATCACTGGAACCGTGCTTGTATTTTTGTTGCCTTCCCTTTTTTCGCGCTGGCCCCCCAGGGTGAAGAAAGAGGGAGTCTTGAACTATGGTTTCCAATCTGCAGCCCTTGCCCTTCCCAACAGAATCCGTGGTGCCCCAGCCTTGAGGATGAAGTGGACGGAGAGGAAAAGTGCACAGCTAGGATGCGGAAGGGGCTAGGGTGTGGTATGGTCGTTTCGATTCATCCCACTCAAAGTTAAACACTTTTGGAGAGAGAGAGAGAGAGAGAGAGAGCGTCGACCGGAAGCAATGAACCGAACCAATCTGTCCGATTTGAAATATTTTCCCCAAGTTGTGTGTGTGTGTGTGTGTGTGTGTTGGGGGGGTGGCACCGGGGTGCAAGGTGTCAGGGGACCTGGTCCCCAAAAGGGTGGGGTGCAGCATTCGATCGAACCGTGCAGATGAGCCACAACTACAGCAAGTGTAGATGAAGGTCAGCAAGGGCTAGGCCCAACCACGAAATATGAGACGATCTCCGCAACGGTGATTTTCTGCCACAGCTTCTTTATGGCTACTTGGTTGGATCTTTGGATTGCAACTAGGTCGGATTTGCCGAATTCCCTCACTTCTTGCAGAGGAGATGTTACCGCAACCAAGGTTGGGTGGACCATTTGAGAACCGTGTTTTTGCTTCGCCATTTTTTTTGTCGATCGGACCGCACTTTTTGAGTCGCCAGGGTGAGCTATCACCTCTGCAACTGCGGAACCGCCTTTGGGTCGCAGCGTGGGGCCTCGCAGATCGAATCCGTTTCTCTCCGGGCATCGTTTTGGCCGAAGGGTGGGTTTTTGCTCATTCGATTTCTCGTTTGATGGTGTCTGAAGTGCATTGACCACATCTGATCTTTTGGTTTTCCAGTGTTGGTCCAAATTTTTAGTCATAACCTCAACAGATTAACCCTTTGTCTCTGGGTGTTTTGGCAACTGAGGTGTTTTCGCACATTGTTCGAGGTGCTCTTTTTGCAAGCAACTAAGCAGGGCCTGAATCTGAGCATACGTTTAGTTGGCAAAGGCTGAGGTGGTAAACGAGGTCTTAGCAAGGGCGTATCTCCCAATAGGATATGGACCCTACCACAATCGATAGGCTCCCTTTTTAAATGGAACCCTGGCTGCTTTGTGCAGCGTTGTCCCATTTAAGAGGGGGTCCTGGTTGATGAAACCGGTGCACACGGTTTCCCTTCATCCTTGCTGTGATGTCTTAATGCAGGTTGCGGATTGGCGCGAACAACCCAGCGTGCATGTCTCGCATTGTCCACCACCTATGCCAGCCACAGAAGCAAGGGCGGCAGGGTGCCCAACAGCTTTTGTGCTTGTTGTTATGCTTGTGTCAGGGCCAACAAGTTTTTACCTGGGTAAGGGGCTCGTGGTTGGATTCGGGAGCTCCCCTTTGTTTCAAGTCGTTTGCCCATGTTCCTGGGAAGCATTGCTTTCGGTGCAAGCTGCGGGTTGCGGGCTGAGTCCAAGACTCAGGTGTGACGCTTTTGTTTGATAGTTCTTGGCAGAGGGGTTTCTTTACGGCACGAGTGACGCCCGCCGGACACAAACAAACCGTCTTTTGGGTCGAACACCTGCGATGGATGCCCTGAATGTTGCGAGCAGGCTTCCTCATTTTACTTCTTCAGGGGTTGGGTTGACATCCTCAAAGTCACCCATGCAAATGGCGGAGCCTATGCCCCTCCAAAGTACCTTTGAGAGCTCCTTTCTCCCTTGCCCAGAGCTTTTGAACTTGTTCTTGGAGCTACGTTTAGTGGCCCAAAAAAGTCCCCAAAGGTGAACGTTGTATTTCTGGGTCTTTGGGGCAGAGCCACAATCCAAACCCGGGGTAGATGATCCGGTTAGTGCGGGACGATCCCAGCCATAAATAGCTGCGGACATCCGCCTTCTTAATCCTGGCCCTGGGATTGCGACCATTTTTGTAGCGATCGGTTTTGATTGCGATTTGGGTGTGGCTCAAAATTAAAGAGGTAGGGTTACGCAGGTTTTAGTCGTTGGTTCCATTTACCAGGGTGCCATTTTGGTACATCTTTTTGACCCACAGCCATTTGGCTGAGTGCTATGTTCACGGCAAAGGGCCCAACTTTGGCGTTGGACGCTCCAAAGCCCAGGCCCCAATTCGATCTGATGCAGTGCGCAGGTTGCCTGCTCCCGACGAGCCACAGGCAGGACGCGATGGATTCTAGCCCAAGCTGCTGCCCTCAAGGGAAAATAGAGCGCCTAAAGCCTGGAACGTTTGTAGATTTCCAAATAGATTGATAGATAGATAGATAGATAGATTGATTGATTGATTGATTGATTGATTGATTGATTGATTGATTGATTGATTGATTGATAGAGATAGATAGATGGATGGATGGATGGATGGATGGATGGATGGATGGATAGATAGATAGATAGACACACAGATACATACATACACACAAACAAACAACCAAACAAACAAACAAACAAACAAACATACATACATACCTACCTACCTACATACATACATACATACATACATACATACATACATACATACATACATACATACATACATACATACATACATAAATACATCACATACCATAACATAACATAATAACACAACACAACACAACACAACACAACATAGCATAACATAACATAACAAAACATAACATACCAAAGCATAACATACCATAGCATAACATATCATAGCATAGCATAGCACAGCATAGCATAACATAACATAGCATAACATAACATACATACATACATACCTACATACACAGGTAGAATCATATTTATGTATATATCGTTGGCGCCTAAATTGGATTTCAGTGCCATTTTGGAGAGACTCAAGTTGCCCGCAGCCTACTGGCACCTTTGTGCCCGCTTCTTCCACGGAAACGGGGGAAGCTCTGAAATTCATCGAACGTCTCGGCTGCTTTGAGTTTCCTTTCCAGCCTGCTTTCATCTTGTGACAAGGTCTTGAACAACTCCAGCTAGAATGTGGTGCAGTCTGTTGGCACCTAATTAAGTCATCACCATGGGAGACACATATCAGTACTGAGCTGGGCTCCTAAATTTTGGTTTAAAGCCGCGTCCGTTTTTTTTTTTTTGACACGGAAGCCTTGGCTTGCAGAGCACCACGTGGAATCCATGGACGCGAGGCTACAGTAAGTTGCAGGCCACTTTAAACAACAACTCCCGAAACAAGGTGGTTTGGTGCTGGACCTCGCGCGTTGCACCAAGAAACGGTGTGCACAAAGTTCCGTCTTTTCTTTGTTTTGGCAAAGCCACTCAGGAAGAGAGGCCAACGGCTCAAATCAGCAGATACTATCAATCACGTATGTATACATATATGATCGTATGATTATATGAATATATGCAAATGCTATTTTTAGATTTGTAATGGACATGACTTGGAGACGAACAGGTCTTGCACAACATGGGTGCAAGAGAACCTCCAAAAGTGGCAGTTTCAAGGGCCACGACAAGTCAATTGCAACGTTTGACAAATCCAATGACCCCAGTTCTCCCACTAAGCGTGGAATCATCCCCCCAGAAAGGAATGTGTCCACTTTGTTGCTCTGCCAAAGAGGTTGCTGGATGCAGGATGCCGGCCCTCCGACCTGATGAAGCCTCATGCCTCGTTTTTCCCCCCTCCCCCCCCTCCCCAGAAACGCTTGAGGCCCTGCGCCCCACAGGGAGGCATCTTCACGGGGGCTCCAAAACGAGTTTGCCTTTCTTTTGGTATTTTCTCCGGCAAAATTGACCCCAAAAGGGTAGCCTGACACAAACAGCTCCGATGAAAACCGGGAACGTAGGAGGATAGTCATGCTAATTTTTGGAGTAAACGCCCGGTCGAGTAGGGAGGGGAAGTGTCCCATTGAAGTCTCTTGAATTTGGATGGTGGTTTGGTTTGGTGGTTTACGGAATTAGTTTCTTTTGAACCCGAATCAAGAAGGTACCCCTAACGTCTAAACACCCAAACCAAACCACCAGTTCGGGGTAAGGTGATTAAGCGGCAATGAACGCCGCTCAGGGAACCTTGCGCTGATTGCAACAAACGGGTTCCAGCTTGCACACGACTGTCACTCCTTCTCGCCGAGCGATGTCAGGCCTTCCGAGTTCGCCCGGGAAGGACCGCCTGGCATACCCATGTTGTGTGCCTTACACCCAGTTGCCCAGTTGTGCCCGTTTTCCCCTTTTTTTGGGAAGGGTTCCCCTTTAGGTCAGCCAACCCAAAAGGACGCCCTTTTTGCCCTGGGCATTTGCGTCCAGATTCTCTTTAAGTGGGTGGACTTTCTGCAGCTACGAGGGGATGGGTGATGGCTTTGAACCACCTGGACCTTTTTGAGATGGAAGCGGTTGAATTTGGCAGGGCTGGTTGTGCACGCCTAGAGCCACCCGAAATGTACCCGACACCCACCCAAATGTACCCAACATTCACGCTAAACCCAAACCCACCCCCAACCCTGCGCAATCCCTACCGCCATTCACCAACTCCCCAGGGTTCCAGTCATAAAGCGAGCCGGAGAATACTTGCCGGAGACTTCTTGGAGCAAGTTTTGGCTGGGTGATGTTTCAGAGGGTGACCGGTGGGTTTCGAGACTTCCGCTCAGGAGACGAGCGCGCGAGGACCTCAAGTCAAGGGAGGGCCACTTTTCACGGGTCACTGTGGGGGGAAATTTGCGACTTTTCGGTTGAAAAGTTGTCAAGGAAGGCGGGGCACAGGGTGAACATTTGGGTGTGGCTCAAAATTACAGAGCCAGGATTATGCAGGTTTTTGTCTTTGGTTCCATTTACCAAGGAGGCATTGTGGCACATCTTTCTGAGCCACAGCCATTTGACCAAAACGCCTATGAAAATTTGCAGGTGGGGCGATACTTCCTTGGCACATTGTGGCTTTATTGGGCAGCCAGGCAACATCCACGACGCAAGCTTTCTTGTTCTGAAAGGGCTGTGTCAGGACTCAGGGCTGGTTGGCAATCATGCGAGACATTGGGGCCCCCCTGCCCCCTTGACATGTTTCAGAACCCTTCTCAAAAAGGAAACAACAGGGGAGGGCTGGGGATCCTTGACTTGCTGGTTCCCAGCGGGGAATGAGTTGGAACCTATTCAGGGAAGCCCCTTCCGGTTCATTCCCAACACCCGGACTCGATGTCATTCCCTACCTATTGTCCGAGTGGCCGGTGGCTGCTGCCGGTGGCCCCATTCCGGGCAACCCCGAAAGGTGAATGCTTTTGAGTCTCAGTGGTGGTTGTTTAGTCTTTGGTCGCCTGCACATAGATGGGGGCCTTTGCACTTGGAAGGCGGTCCTTAGCGACGATTATAGGGGACTTAGGTGGATCAAAAGAGGACCCTTCCTTGGTGCCACATTCCTTGAGCCATTGGCCCTGCTGCAGTGAGAGGCAAGTTGGTAAAGTCGTAGGCCGGGTCTTGGAAATCTTCACTTGAATCCGGCCTCCTTGTGCGCGCGCGAAGTCACGAAGTCGGGTTGAATTGTTTGCACGGGCGGGCTGGCCGCGCGCGCAACGTGGTTTGTTGTGCATCTGCCCCCCATTCTCGCAGCCTGCGAACCAGTTGTTCAGAGGACTCCGCCCTTAAATTCCTTTTTGTTTCCCTTCTCCGTCCCAACAAGAAATGGGATCAACCTCTAAGCCACAGTGCTCTCTCTGTCCCAATCCCCGTTTCGTTTGGTGGGTTCTCCACCCCCCCCAAAAAAAGAGAGAAAGAAACACAAACGGACAATCAGCCTCAAACACGGGTCTTCTCAGGCGCGGAAGGACCTCATCCAGCGCCAGGACCTGCCTTTTTTTTGAGGGAAGGTCAGGGGGGCAAGTGTTCATGTGCATATGTGTATATATATATAGATATATTCAAAAAATACGGATACATATGGTAATGGTTGGAACCCCCTGAAAAGTGGTTGGTGGACATAAATCCCCATCGATGTTTGATGTGCACCAAAGGGTCCCTAATTAAAATTCATATCCATCTATACATGCATACATACATACACACACCTGTCTCTGTGTGTGTGCTAGCCAGTTTCCGAGCCAGCTATTTTGGTGGGTTTGATTAAGGGTTGCGTTCCCGTGGTTTTGGGCTCATGTCTTGTCACCATTTCTTCACCGCCGCTCCAGACCAAACACCCGGGTAGACGAAGGGAACGGCCACCCAACATGTCGCAAGTAAAACCGCGCAGCCACGGTAAATCAGAGTGATTTTTAGAGGGGTTCCTCTTTCCCTGACTTAGTTGCTTGCAAAAATTGGGTCATCCACCGTAGCAGGGGACAGAACCAGCCGTAAATCGGCGCAGCTTTTATCCGTTTTTATTCCGGGTGGAGCTGCCGCGAGAATCGCTCGCGTCTCTCACATTTGCACTTTCTCGCTTGCGTGCTCGAGCGAAGGGCAGGATGGTAGAGAACCACGTTGAAGCGCTTGATTGCCAGAATTCCAAGCGAAAGCACCCGCAGCTGAAGAGCTCCCCGTCTCTCGCAGATGCTTTCCTCAAGTAGGGGGACCAGCGGCCACACTCAGCACCAGAGCGCACAGTTTGCATAAGTAGTGACATCTCCTGACGGCGGACGGAGGCAGAGAAAGAGAGAGAGAGAGAGAGAGAGAGAGACAGAGAGAGCACTGCCCGCATCGCCCCATGCCGGCTGGGGCATTTTCCGACCCTGCCGCCCGGGCGCTCAGAGGTCGCACATGAACGTCCACGAGATCTTCTTTTTCGTTTTTTGGGTGCGCTCATGCCCATGCTGACCTGACTAGAAAGCCCCCTGCCAATTAGTAACTTCTTTTTTTTAGGGGGGACGGCCCCAGATTCATAGCTGGGGGGGTCTATGAAGCACGGGTCAACCTTCGTACGGACCGCCAATTGACCGCCCCATGCGGTGCCTCCGCCTCGCCGCCCAGTGCGAGGCCCCATTCGACATGGCCGGGACCCCAACAGGCTCAGGGGGTGGGAGGGGGGAAGGCCACCGCACGGCCAGACCTCTGAAGTGCGCGCGGGTGTGGCCGGCTCTCATGTTTGTGGGAAGTTCCTGCCAAGGCCAAAGGAACGATAAGGGGGTTTTGGCGGAAAAAAACAACCTAAGACCAAATAAATATGGCTTTGCAGCCAGTTGAGCCAGCTGCCCCCCCACCCCCCCGCCCCCCAAAGGGCAACCCAAGGGCGATTGCTACTTTTTTCCCGCATCCGGGTAGGGATTTCCGGTTTTGGGTTCGGAGTTCCGAGGCCAACACCTTGCTGAATACCCAATGCGGCAAGGCGGACAGGGTGTCACGTCCGTTGGATTCCGCGCCTGGCGTCCTCCACTTAGATGGTCTGGTTGAACCTTGAAAACTGTGAATGGGGGGAGGGGTGATTTCGACCCCTGATTTTGTTCATGAATGGTTCCGTTTTCCCTGTTGTGGCGAAGAAGACTACCCCTCCTTCCCCCGGTTAGTACCTGCTTGCAACCCACCTACTACGGGTGCAAGTGCGCTAGAGCCAGGCTTACTAGCGATTTAGCCATCTCTTGGACCATCTAGACAGTGGATTTCCCATAACTCAAGCGGCTGCAGTCTTCTCTTTGGCCACTAGTCCGGAAATGGAGATTCCCGTGTGCTTTCAAGCATTTGCGAGAAGGGTGTATCCACACCCCTGAGCAGGAATGTATGGTTTTGTGGCATGGGAGCCAAAAAGGTACCCGAAAAGGAACTGCCCTAAACGTGCACAAGGGCAATTTGGAGCAGGGCTTGTGGTTTGACCGGCTCGTTGGCAAGCACGTAAGTGGGCGGGAAGTAGTCAGCAGGATTCGTAGGTTGGTGACATCAAGATGAGGGGGTTCACTCCTGATGGCGCCGAGCTGCCAATTTGAGTGGTCCCCCCTAAGGACAAAATCATGAGCGTAGCATCCGAGGCCCATGTGTTCGAACCCATTCTGGGTAATGTTGACCCCAGATTAATAAGCCCATCCCACTAATATGGTGTTGTTGTCTCCGAAAGCGGTCCGAATCCCCACCAAAACGGGGCAGCGCCCCCCCCCCCCCACCCCCCGCATTTGTCAGCCAGGGGGTCCTAATCTGGGGTCAGCAAAACTTTCCTTCCCGCAGGCCAACTACAAGGCCAACGTGAACTCGCCCAGCCACGTGCTGGAGACCTTAAACTGGCACGTGGCTGCGGGAACCTGAGCTTTCGATGCGAACAAGGCAGATGCCACCAAGGGCTCTCGTCCCAAGTGTCTCAGGGTGCTTTGTACCTTGTTTTGCGAGTCCAATTTACTGGACTTCTCTGTTCTTGGCATTGTTTTTCTAGTTTTTGTCCAAATTTGTTTTTTTTGGTTCTCTTCACTTTTATCAGGGGGGCCGCAAAACACAGCTTTTTGCAAACACAACAAGTGTCAACATCCTGCTGACCAATCGGACAGTGAGCTGGGCATGGGACGTGGCATCGTTTTCCCGACCGCTGGAGCTTGGAGCCCTGTACCCTCCACCCTGTTAACTTGCGCGAGGTCCCGGGGATCCATTTGAAGAAGCGTTCCAAGGGTCTTACAAAAATTGGGGGGCACCAGGCCATCTTAAGTGTTTCAAGTCGCTCACGATTCTTTTTCGCCCTCCAAAAACATCGCACTTTGACACATGAAGCGGTCAACTCAGTGTCTCTCCGACCTAGATGGCATCAGCTACCGCAAACCACTTCTCGATGAAAAAGGGAATAAGTACAATTTCAGTACAATGAGTACAATGATCTAAAACTAGCACCAATGAGTTTGTTTACACCCGGCACTCCCTTGGGGGCCTTGGGGGTAGTGGCTTATCTTGCAGCCGCCCGCTAAACTTTTCCGGGGATTTGCAACGGTTCGTTCCCAGCAACGTCTGTGCGTTGCGAGGTTCAGCTAAGATTGGGAAGCAGTAGGAGCCAGGCGAGGTTTGCTACCCCTGCGTCGCCAAACATAGTCACAGAAGTGTGCAGCAACGGTTTTCTCCAAGGTCGGCCCCGCCTTGGAGATTCAAAACCAGCCCGACCTTGGAGAAAACCGGCCCGACCTTGGAGAATCTCCGAGGTGGGCCCGACCTTGGAGAAAACCAGCCCGACCTTGGAGAAAACCGGCCCCACCTTGGAGAAAACCGGCCCCACCTTGGAGAAAACCGGCCCCACCTTGGAGAATCTTAATGTATTTTTTAAAAAGTGACGAAGCGTTCGCCAGGTTTTTGGAGAAAATGAGCGTTCGGATGGAGATTTTCAAGAAAAAGAAGCGTTCAGAAGGAGGGGAGAATCTCTGAAGTGGGGCTGACCTTGGAGAAAACCGGCCCGACCTTGGAGAAAACCGGCCTGACCTTGGAGAAAACCGGCCTGACCTTGGAGAAAACCGGCCTGACCTTGGAGAAAACCGGCCTGACCTTGGAGAATCTCCGTGGAAAACACCGGCCCGACCTTGGAGAATCTGCGAGGCGGGGCGGACCTTGGAGAAAACCGGTCCGACCTTGGAGAATCTCCGAAGCCGGGCCGACTTCCCCCCGACCTTGGAGAAGACCGGCCCGACCTTGGAGAATCTCCGAATGCTTGCTCTGGTTGGTAATCTGCTTAATCCTTAATCCGTGCTGCAAATTGTGGCATCGAACATCCGTGCAACCCGTAATCCGTAATCTGCAAACCGCATACTCTGATCCGTAAATCACGTAATCCACAAACCGCTAATGGTTGGGGATTAGGTATTGAACAAGCCAGGTGAAGCCTGCCATTTTTGAGCGAAAACGCAACACACATGCATCATGCGCTTGTTGCCAAAAAAAGAGCTCTGAACGCTTTTTGGAATAAAGCATGAGCCTGAGCTCGCGCAAGTTAACACTCCACCCCCTCAAGGTTGGCCCTACCGACCTGCCGCATGGTGGCCAGGCAAAAGATATCGAGCTGATCAACTAGGTCCCCCAGCTAGGTGCCGTTTCTCACACCTTTTTTGGTTGGGAGGGTTCCCCTACTAAAATAGACTACGGATAGACTACAGACAAAAGGGTACCCTTATTCTAACCTCTCTACTGGAGGACCTAGTCAAGGACTCAAACAGCTCACCCAGGAAGGTCCCTGGATGCCTTCCTTCTCGGTGATTGCGTGGCTCGTTCACTTTTCCCTTGTGCTTCCTTCAGACGTCACCTTTTTGGGCCAAGGGAGTTACCTGGGGCGGGGACACGTGTGGCAAGCGTCTCTTGAGGTTTATGACGTGCACGTGAGCACGCCCTTCAACTTCATTTACGACGCCCGGGGCCGAGTCGAGTGCGTGGAGTCGAGTCACAACCTTTGGACCAGCGCAAAAGCAGTATTGAGTCCGGAGCTCGTGGAACGCCTGCTCTGTGCCGATTTGCCTATTTTATTGCGGGCTGGGTAAAAAGAGCGAGCTCACCTTACCTTTTTCTTCTTCTTCATTTTGGGACATTCTAGAATTTATCACATTGCTGATTTGGAGTATCCCCTGGTGAGTCTGGGATGTCATGCCGAGCCCAGAATCAACTTTGGGACCCTTTTTTCCAAAGGGGCGGCAACCCCAAAAAAAAGGGACCCCGCCTCGTAAAGGCAATCAACAGGCCCCCATTGATCAAGGGCGTACTTAGATGGTCCAAGGGAAGAACCCTGGTCCTAGGGGACTTACCATGCTAAGTCGGTTGTAAGGGTGAATATACGGAGCCTCGCACCGGGGGTTAATTTCGGGCCCCTTCCGCAGCGCACTCGGGCTCGGCCGAGCCGCGCCCCCCAGGTCTTGCAGTTCTCCTCCGGGAGGGACAAGTTCTGCGCGCTGATGCAGGGCTGCGCCAAGTTCGCCAGCGAGGCGCGCCTCTTGCGCGCGTCCGCCGCGGCCAGGAGAGAGATGTGGAGACTGGACTCTAAGGGTGGGTTTGGGGATAGGAGGGGGGTCAAACATCACTTTCCGGGCCAACGTCCGCAGCGCTGACATGTAAGGGATGTGGTGGAATCTGTCTTCGGAAATGCTCTCCCTTTTCCTAACGTGGCGCCCAACATCCGTCGGGCCCCTGAAAGACCATGCCGAAGCAAGTAGAGACAATGCGGTGGAAAATGTGGGTTTCACGTTCCCGCTTTTTTGGGTTACCCTTTGGGAATCTGCTTGCAAGTGACTTTGTAGATCCCTTTCCTGTGATTTCGGGTGGTTTGATACCGGCTTTGTTGACAGCCAAGAGGTGTCCTGGTCATTTCTCCGGTTCTTTAAAACCGAGGTTCTTGGAGGACGCACATCTTCTTAAGGCCCCCTGGTCCGCTTCCATGAGTTTTGGACAAAAAAGGGGGCAGCTCGGGTCACCCCGACGACTAAAACGGCCACTTGGGCGCAGCCGCCAGCCAGCAGCCCCCCGCACGCGACGTGAGAGGCGCTGGCTACGCCGGGCTCTGATCGGCATTGGATGTTCCGGAGCGTCGAGGAGTGGACAGAGCTACCAGGGTGGTTGTAACTAGACAAATTCCTCTCGAGCTCAACCTAAGTGGGGGTTCAGGTTTTCACCAATTTACAGCCGGGGCCTGACGTTCGGGACCGGGTCCCTTCAAATGGAAATCTTCCAAACCGGGATTTCCCATCTCCCCCTTCCCCACCCCCGAGCGTCAGGTTCCACGTTCATTGGTGGGAGAGTAGTTGGAAGGGAGCCAGACTCGGAGCTGGCACCAAAAGGTATCCAAAGGTGCCTCTTAAGCCTTAGAGGGAGCTACCGATTGGTGTTTTGGTCAGGGACACGGACGTTGTCCCTCCAAGACAAAGTTGGACAGCCATGTTGGTGGGGAGGCCCTGACAAAGGGCTTTAGGCCTTACTTTGGAGGGGATACAGGGGGCTGAACAAATTCTATCACTATGCTCCTGCAATTTTAGTTTCACAGTACCCCAACCCCCAATTCCAAGGATTTAACATCTTTTTGAAACCCTTTCTGAGAAGGTGTTTTTGTCCAGGGGTGGCCCCGAATCGAAGTAGAACCCATACTATCACCTTTCTCTTTCTCTTTATCTTAAAGTCTTTTCCTTTCTCTTTCTCTTTCTCTTTCTCTTTCTCTTTCGCCTTCTCCTTCTCCTCCTCCTTCTCTTTCTTATTCTCTTTCTCTTTCTCTGTCTCCTCCTTATTCTCTTTCTCTTTCTCTTTCTCCTCCTTTTTTCTCTTTCTATTTATTTTTCTCTTTCCCTTTCTTCTCTTCTCTTTTCTTCTCTTGTCTTCTCTTCTCTGCTCTTCTGTTCTCTTCTCTGGTCTTCTCTGGTCTTCTCTGGTCTTCTCTTCTCTCTCTCTCTCCTTCTCTCTCCTTCTCTCTCCTTTCCTCTCCTTCTCTCTCCTTCTCTCTCCTTCTCTCTCCTTCTCTCTCCTTCTCTCTCCTTCTCTCTCCTTCTCTCTCCTTCTCTCTCCTTCTCTCTCCTTCTCTCTCCTTCTCTCTCCTTCTCTCTCCTTCTTCTCTCTCCTTCTCTCTCCTTCTCTCTCCTTCTCTCTCCTTCTTGTCTCTCCTTCTCTCTCCTTCTCTCTCCTTCTTCTCTCTCCTTCTCTCTCCTTCTCTCTCCTTCTCTCTCCTTCCTGTCTCTCCTTCTCTCTCCTTCTCTCTCCTTCTCTCTCCTTCTCTCTCCTTCTCTCTCTCTCTCTCTCTCTCTCTGTCTCTCTCTCTCCCTCCCCCTCTCTCTGGGCATTGCATTTGGCCACGCGAGGATAGCCTTAGCGATGGCAGGAAGATCTTCCGACTCTTCAAGGAGATCCGGGAGGTCTACAAGGCTTTCTGGGCCCAGCACGGCTTTTCGTCTTCCATGGCCGGACCTTGCTGACCTCGCACCACTTCGTGCCTTTTTGTTTTGTTTCCTTCATGCACCCTTTCCGCCGGCAAGAGTTTACTTGTGCAGGCCTGACTCTGGCTCAGTCCTCAGTCTTGTTCCCGTTTTGGCAGGTGAGGTCAAACTTGAATTTTGATCGTGCCTCAGCACGCAGCCCCGCCTGTAGTTCTTCCCCCCCGCCCATGGAGGTGCAGGTGCGTTCTTTATTAAGGCCTTCCCATTTTTCAGGTTCGTTTGAAGGGAGCTGTTGTGAATTTACGTCTTGCTGTGAGGGCCGCTTCAAGCCGCAGCTGTCGGCCGAGTAAGAACAACATGTTTTGCTGCAAAAATCGGATGCAACGTGGAATCGTGTTCTTTTTTTTCCCCCCTTTTTAATATTATTATTATTTAAATTGTTTTCCCCGGTCTTTTTTCAGTTGAATCCGGGTTCGGGCCCTGTAGGTGCGACGTGGCTGGAGCCGCTTCAGCCTTGGCTGCCAGGAGAAGTGGGGCGGAGCGGCGGAGGGCTGGCTGACCCCCACAGAACCCAACGGACCATGGATACGGATGTCCAAAGTGCCGAACCCAGGATGATACACCCTTTGCTACTTATTTAAAAGGTGTCAACACGCCCTGCGTGTTTTTTTTTTGTTTTGTTTTTTGCTTTGTTTTGCTTCTTCTTTTTTTCCGCAGGTGGATTCCAGCTCTGAAACTGAACCAGTGAAGAGTTTGCAGCCTTGGTTCAACCGGCATACAGAAGTCATCCATGCGCATTTTCTGCCTGAAGCAAGATGTTCCACCCTGTTACCTTCACAAGTGGGGTTATTTCATTGGACCCAGAGAACTTACTATGAGCCTGCATCACCCTCCCACCAAACATGAGAGTGTCTGTGCACCAAACCATGAGGGTGGAAGGGTCCTCCTTTGCAGGTCCGTTCGCTAATTGCCATATCTACAATCCTTCATGGGTTCTTCGAAAATGTGGGCGTATCCTTTTTGTAGGTTCCCCCCCCCCTCCCAAAATGGTGGCGGTTTTCCTGTTGCTTTCCCCGCAAAACCACAAGCATCGCAAGGAGGATGGCGCGCTTTCCATCCCCGCTACCTGCGGGGTGCTGGACATGTCGCGGACCGAGACAGAGAGAGAGAGAGAGAGAGCGAGAGAGAGGGAGAGCCTTTGTGCTTGGGGGATGGGCTGGCTTCAGAAATGGGGGAGGCCGCAAAAGGCTTGACCATCTCCTTTGAAACAAAGGGTAACTAATCTCAAGAGCGACACTCGCCTGAATTTGCATGCTATTCCCGCAATTTTCCTAGTCATCAACTAGTCATGGGTGGGGAATCCTATTTTGGTATCGCAAAAGGGTGATCTGCCTCAGGGGCTGACCCCTGCAGTACATGCACAGGGAAAGGTCCTGCTGTACCGGAATGAAGGCCCCCGTGCTTCGTCACCCTCCCGGCAGCTAACTGCGAAGGATACCTGTTGGCATTTCACGTGGTCACCAGGGGTTTTCCGAACGAGTTCCTCAAGAATTTCAACAACATGTCTATACTTGAACCGGACTCCTTGCAGTTCTTGACCAGTAGGTTATCCAAAACTCGAGGCAAACAGACAGGTCCCAGAATGAAGAAAGATCAAACGGCTGGACCCGCCGTTTTTTGGCTCCAGCGGCGGCGGGATGAAGTGGGCCACGGAGTGGGACAGGGGGTTTGCGGGCCATTTGTTCTATGACGAGGTCCCCCCGTAGTGCCCTTTCTCACCCTTTTTTGGGGGAGGGTTCCCCTACTAAAATAGACTGCAGAAAAAAGGGTACCCTTATTCTCGCCTCTCTACTGGAGGACCTAGATTATGTATCCTCAGGTGCTACATTAGTTTGTTTTGTTCTTGGCAACGTGTGTCTCTTCAGCAAAGGGGCCTACCCCGGAGATTTTTTTTGCCAAAGTGGGCGCAAGAACAAATGTGAAGAGGGGGCTTAACCCCACAATACACTTGTCATGCCTGTGGCCCTTCATTTTTGTCAGATGGACATTCCCACGCAATTTCACCACGAACACGGCAAGATCCCTCTAAAATGGTGTTGCAGGATACTTTGGAGAGCTAGTGCGGTCCCACCATCGTTCCGCCCGCAAGCGTGGGTTGCGTTTGCACGTAGGCTTGGCCACAGCTGCTCCTTCTTCTACTACTTAGGCACGGAGTTCCAGAGTCAGGTGGCCCGGGCTTCAGTGGCCATCCAAAAGGCGCTGATCCCTATGATGGACAACTCAAGAATGGCTTCCAAAGCTTCTAGGTCAATGGGCACCTGGGGTTGAAGGAGGGGGGACTGTGGTGGATTTGCCTAGGAGCTGCTTGTCTTTCAAGGGAAGCTGTGAACAACCCGCCTGGTTTTGGCAGGGTCACTGGATGTTTTTTTTTTTTTTTTTTTTTTTTTTTTTTTTCCGGAGTTGCAGGATTCCCGCGAACCAAAGGTTGATTAATTTTATGAGTGGTTTCCCTTGACGCGATCGAACACCACTTTTGTAGGTTCCAATCGGGGAAATGGAGAACACCTCTTTTGGAGGTAAAGCGACTCCAAACGAATCGGACAAGGAGGTTCCACCGACGGAAATCCCCAACCTACCCAACCTACCCCCCAACCTCCAACCTCCAACCTACCAACCTACTTCCCTTCCAACCTGCCCGTCCGTTCCAGCTCCAAAATACTGTGGATGGACGAAATCCTGCACCGCCTCAGCAACCATGGTTGACACTGTTGTTTGTTGGTATTTGCAGGGAGAGCCATCAGAATCCGGGGTTTCTGAGCGGTGCCGCGAAATGGGTTTCGCAAAAACATCCGCAGCACGCCCCGACGCCCCGTGGCTCCGTTCGGGCAGGGGACAACCTGCTCTGGGCCGCCTCCGTGGGCCTGGTGCGCTCCAAGGAAGTGCCGAGGCCCGGAGCCGAGGGGAGCCTCGGAGCCTCCGCGGGCGGGGTGAAGCAGCTGGAGGCTCCTTTTTTTTTTTTTGGGGGGGGGGGGAAGTTCTATTTCTTTTGTTGGGGGGGGGTCTCTTTTTTTTTTGGCGGGGGCTAAGCATGAAGCAGAATCTAAAGATATGGTCTTCTGTGAAGTCTAGTTCCAGCAGTTTCTGTGGTTTGACAGGGAAAGCAAAGGGCACCATGCGCCTCCACTATTTTGACAGGGCCCACGGGTCCCAATATTGTTCTTGTGGGAGCATTGGGCATCACAAGGATGATTTCCCCTGCGCATGCTTCTGTTCTTTGAGCGAGTTCAGGCCTGAAGGGGGTTGTGGGAGTTGCAATTTTGTGGTAGCACTGGGAGGCCTTCCGAATGTCTAGTTCCCTTTTCAATTGGGGGTTCATTGGTATCACAATGGGGGCCAACCCCTCATTCCCCCAAACACCAAACGGTTTGTGCAGACACATCGGGGCTGCCTTGAACCCTCGAATTGGACACTTGGTCGACGGGTTCGATCCTTCGGTTTCCCCTGGCCGGCTCGGCGGCTGCCTTCTCATCGGGTGGTTGGAGCAACCGGACGGTGGTACGATTGTTTTTTTTTTTTTTTTTTTTGGGGGGGGTGGGGTTGAAGCTGCCATTGCGCGCATAAGTAAAAAAAACTGCTTGAAAGCGAGGCAGGCGGGGTGGTCCTTTGTGGAAGGCACCCGTTTCTTCTGGTTCACAGGAGAACCAAGAGGACCGCAACTTTCTGAGGGTCCGATGTCTATATTTTGAGCAGAAACAGGTCTCACACATGAGTTAAACTGAGCAGTTTCGTCGCCAGCCCTAACATGGAACCTGGGAAAGGGCCCTGTAAGACCATTTCCTCTTGGAGCCGCCTGCGGGGTTCCCTGGGTGGGGTCAGCATTTTGTAGTACTTTGCTTTTCGCCGCTGGTGTACTTCTTCATGGCGAAGGGGAGCACCCACGTCTTCTTGTTCGTGACATCTAGCGAGTACCGCTACTTTGATGGGTCTTTTTTTGGGGGTGGTTGCAAAGGGTTGAAGCCCGCCTTTTCTTCAGCTGGGGCGACGCTTTTGGCCTGGACGAGACCTTGTGCGACACCTCCCCAGGACTTGGAAGGGCGGAAGCCGCCCCCTGGCAGAGACGCCGGTAGTTTCAATTGAGCTCGGGGGTGGTTTCAACATGATTCATTTTGGCCACTTGAAAGTGAGTTTCCCAAAAAAGGAGGGATAATTCTTTTTCAAGGAAACCTGAAAAACCAAGGGCAATACCCAAACCATAAAACCAGTCCAGGCGCGAAACCGCTTTTCCAAATGAATACCAGGGTCATTATTTCTCATGTTTGTTTTTTTTTTAACGGGCACCTCGCACGTTGGGGATGACTTTGATGGTGCCCCTGGATACATGTCCCAACCATAAACTGGGCAAAGCAGCTCTTGGCGGGTTCTGGGAGCTTCGGATGGGGCTTCTGGCAGTGGAGCAGGATTGGATTCCATGTCTGAGGTCGTATGGCATTCTGGTGGTGAAAAATGACCCATGTCGCATTCTGTGATGAGGTGTGGTGGTTTGCCAGGGCTCCTGAAAAGAAATTCATTTTGCCACCAAATGAAACATGTTGCTTTTTCAACACCAAAATAAAGAACGGAAACAACACCATTTAGAAGTTGCAAGGTTCAGGTGTTTTTCATGCATCTGGATCCCTGCTTGCCTGGTTGGCAAAATGACTCTTGCCTTGGGCTGCATGAGCTAGGCATCCAAGGATCGAAAGGGTCTCGGAGATCTCGGCGCAAGGCAGTCGCTCAGTTGGTGAGCTTGGAGGGTAAAGCAATCGAGCTGCTGTTGTGATCCAAAAATGTCGGGGTTCCCCCTTTCCCCATGTTTGAACCTCCCAAAGTGGCAGTTTCCATAGAAACCACCAGTCAACTGCAACCTTATGGGAAATCCACGGAATCATCCTGGATGTTTTGTCCCCAAGCGCCAATGGGCCAAGCATAGGTGCCCTTTTAGGCTACTTTGGCTAGAAATCGATGGCACTGGTTTAGATGGGTTTTATTCCATTTACCCGGGCCATCTATTTTTCCAACAGGACACCTATGCCTCCAAGGGTTCAATGGGATATAAACCCGTTTTCAAAGTGGCTCTGTATCACCTCTTCCACACCCCTTAGATTTTTGTGAAGCTAAAGTGGCTCGACTCACCCTATATTTCTGCCTGTGCTTCCTATCCCTTCCAGACATATGGCTTAAAGAGAAAGGGGGTTTCACCTGAGTCTTGCGAAGCATTCTTGGTAGGCTGGTAGCATCGGATGGAACTTGGCCTGCCAAGCACTCCTTCAGTCCAAAGAAATGTGTGTTGCACCTCAAAGATGATGGGCTTGTCTCCTTTGGTTCCCGTTGGCTCCAATTTTCAAAAAGGGCACCCTCACAAACTGTTTAAAAGCACAACCAAAAAACACACACACACACAAGGCTTTGAATGGGCGCCTGAGGTGAGAACGGCGCCATTCTGAGTGCTCTTGGGGGCGCCTCCAGTGGGAGACTCAGGCCGTTGTCCAGGTCTAAGACCTCCCAGCCTCTGGTTTGTTTGCCTCCGTCGTGTTTCCCCAAGTGGATGGCTTCTCTGAAAAAAACAACCAATCCGGGCGCGAGCAAAAACGTGTGAGCCGCGCTTTTTCCGCGTGATCTGGGGTTTTGAGGGTATTTTGTTTTGGGCTGCTTTCAAGTGAAGCCATGAGTCTGAAAAGCCGCCCATTCCTGGACACCGAGCACAGGTCGTGCTTTAGGTTCCAGGGCATGCCTAAGGCATGGTTACCCAATGGTTGAAAGGGGGGGGGATTCTTTCCGGGTCGTAGTGCACCCACCCCCTCGTGCCTACCCCGTTTGGGATAGGCTGGGGGCAAAGAAAGGAAAGCTCACCTACCGCAGAAGAGCGTGGGACCCACAAATCCCATCAGTTTTTAGGGACCCCCACCCCTGGGCAACGAAACCCACAAACCAGAAAGTTGTCCAAGGGATCCTTTTTGTTCCCCAGAACTAGCTCCCCTTTTTGCTCTTTTGCTTTTTTGGGGTTCCCTTTGTTTTCCACTAACCAGGCAAAAAAGATATTTTTTTGCTGGGGTTCTAATTCCAGCCAAGTTTTGTGCCCAATGATTCCCGCCAAGCCACCGGGCTGCAAACCACCGCATCAAACGGAAGCTGCCTTACCCAATGTGCCTTGCGCCACTGCTTCCGCCACATTCCGGCGCTCAGGCGTCAAACGGAAGCGCAACTGGGCTCGGGCCCCAGGGGCCCGTAACTGCATGGCACCCGAATTGTTCGCTGGGTGCAGTTGGAGGCGTTGCTTTCTTGGAGGGTACTCTCTTTTGGGTGGGGTTTGAAAGGGGTTTACCGCATTTGGGTTCCCCTAGTTTGAGGCACACCCACTTGCTGTCGCGTCAGTTATTAAATAAAAGAAAGCAACAAAAGAACGTCCTCTCTTTGGCCGTTCTTTCGGTCATAGGTCCAGTGAGCACATAAACGCCGCCCACGACAAGGGAGAGAAAGAGAGCTCCAGCAAAGCTTGCTTTCTCCAAGGCTCTGGGGTGGTTTTCGGGGCAGCTTTCAGGGAGGGTTCTGGAGGGTTCCACGGCTGAGCCAGGCTTCCTCAGGCGGAGCCAGGTGGTTTGGGGATTTCAACCCCTGGCTCGAGTGGGTGAGGGGGGGGAAACCACCCCTCCAGTGAACTTGCGAAGCTTGAGGCTCCAAGCCACCCAATTTGGAGGGAGGCTGACTTACCCGAGCTTCTCCCATCCGCTCGCGTGGAACCTGACGGGGGGTGTCCTCTGAAAGGCCTTCGGTTTCGGCCTGGCTTGGTTTGTCTTTTTTTTGGCGAACAGGTTCAAGGAGAAGGAGCTTTTTATTACATAAATTTGCCTCCCCAGTTTGGAGGGCACACGCTCTTGGCGCATTTCCCACATATTTTTTTCTCCAGGGAACTGCAGGTGGAGGTGTCTTTCCTCTTTTTGGAGGGTACCTCCCCATTTTTCTAGGGGTACCTTCCCGATTCTTTCCATGCATCCTTCTTTCTGAAAACCGGCCAGCGCCCTGAGAAGCAGCGATCGAAAAAGAACGATGGTTGAAAAGAATGGGAAAGGAATCGACCCCTAGAAAACCAGGCACCCTTGAACCACCTTGTTTCCATTTACCAGGCTTCCATTTTAGGTACCCTCCCACCAATTAACATGGAACCTGACGCTTGTGGGGCGACCAACGGCATTTTTTCCGGTCAAGGGCAACCCACTGGAGCCACCGACGCCATTGCTTTTTCTCCCCCGGGCAGGCCTCCATGTGGCGCCTCCATTTCGCCATCAGCCAGGAGCCCGGCGCGGAACGGGGCTTACCGAGACTTTTTTTCTTTTTCCGGGAGCGACCCGCTGACTCGTTTCCTTCTTTTTATTTACAAAAATGGGTGTGGCTCAAAACTTTCTTTTTTGGGTGGAGCCCGGTGTTTGTTGTTTTTTGTTTGTCGAAAAATGGGTGCGGCTCAAGGTTCAACAGCCGTCATGACGCAGGTTTCTCAGCCTAGGTTTCCACGTGGCGAGGTCCCATTTTGGGGTGCCATGTTCTGAGCCGCAGCCACATGAACTGGATTTCTCTCAGCTGTCCTCGTTTGTGGTGTGTGGCTGGGAGCCGAATCGGTGGTTTGGAGGTCTTAATTGGGGGGGCGGTTTCAAGCCCATTTACCCTCTGCAAGAATCAGGGGGTTCAAATCCCCAAACCGCCCACGCACACCCACCAATTTTGTGGGGGGAGAAGCTGATCTCCCACCTTTTCAGGAAATAAACCAGCCCGACGGCCGGGCGATTGGGTTTGCTTCCCGTAGTTGAGGGGTCAATTCACCTGCACGTATGACCGCCCTCACGTCATATGGCTCAGCACCGGAGCCCAGGTGCCAACATCCTTCTCCTCTACAAGGCTGTGCGTAGGCTTGGCGTTCGCGGCCGCTTAGCTCAAGATGGAAGGTTTGTGGTTCCTTCTAAGTTGTTTTTTCTTTCTTTTTTTTTTGGCGGGGGGGGGGGGGATTACACCCTGGGAATACACACACTGCATATCGACCCCATTTCGGCACATCTCCGGATGAACCCGTGTTGTCCTGGGTCATTTTGCAAGGGCGTAATCCCAAAGTGCAATGCAAAAGCCCTCAGATTTGTGGTTCCTATGACTCCTTGTGAAGACCACTAGGCCTTCCCCTTGAAGGCTTGCAGGTTCCCCCATCCGCGTAGCGATGGCCGAGGCTTGGAGGGGCCAGATGCCCCGAACTCAGCAACTCAGGGGCGAAGGGCCGAATATGAGAGGTCCGGACGCCGGAACGGGTTTGTAAATGATCCCTTTGGTGGGTAAATGCAGGGTAAATGCATGACTGGGGTCCTCATGATTGGAGTGGGGGCCTTGGGCGGTGTCGAAGGGCAATTCCATCCGGGATGTGATGTGATGTCATTCCCAATTTTAGATGATGTCCTTCACTTTCGTTGTTCCCCATGATCATGTGTCATGTTGAGTAATCTGGGGTTAAGATTAAGTATGGGTTTAGATTAGGTCTTGGTGTGAATGCGATTTGTTTGGTTCATTGTGGACGCCCTACCATAATTGTACTAGAAGGTGTTAAATTAACTTAAACCGAAGGCGCGCGCTTTGAGGAATGGACCTGTCCGTCAGGCTTCGCAACACGGGCTGCATGAAACCAACCAAGGAGATGTGGACTTTTAATATTTGAGGACTTCCCCGGAATTAGCTCCCCTTTTTGCTCTTTTGCTTTTTTGGGGTTCCCTTTGTGTTCCACTAACCAGGCAAAAAAGATAATATTTTTTGCTGGGGTCCTAATTCCAGCCAAGAGGATACCGTTGCAAAATCCTAGCCTTACTTCCCGAGTTTCTGGAATGCATACTTGCTGGGAGGGCCAGGGTAGAGACACAATCGTGCCATGGTCGGAAGATCCCTTTATATACTCGGTTAACAGGGACGGTCATCGACCGCTGGTGGGACGGATCCTTAACCAGTATGAGGATTGGCTATTAACCGAGGAGTATCGACCATGCCCCAAGTGACTCTGCTTGCTGGTGCCAGTAGGGCATGAGGGAATGACCCCCCATAAACCATCCCTTGTGGTTTCCAGTATTCGAATCCCCATCCGGTTCATTCCCAACACTCGACTCGGTCATTCCCTACAGAGCAGCAGCAAGACGGTTCAAGAGTGCAGCTTGGCATGGTCGACCGGAAAGGTCCCAGCCATCCGGTTCCTTAGCGTTTTAGCCTTTTAGTGTTTAGTGGTAGTTTCCATTTAACCCACTTAAAGTGACACTTTTAGCGGGGGATCTGAAGACGGGCAGCCCAGGCTGGGGAGACCAGACAGCCTGTGGGTTGAAAACGAGCCGCGAAAATGAGGACGCTCGGCTCTTCCACAGCCTGGAGATCTTGGGGATGCTTGCCAGCTATCAGGCGACCGCAGTTCAAGCGCCGCATCCTTTGGGTTAAGCACTGTTTTGATTGCTCGGCGACACGGCAGGTAGACAAACGACGCCATGCCACTTCGGGGTTAATTCTATTTCAGTGGAGCCACAAAACCAAAGGGAAAGCGCCGCTGAGGAACTGGAGCCTTGGAAGTCCCCCACTTCGCTCTACCCCGCTTTCGCCTAAGCCAAACAAAGGAAGGCGGCTGTAAAAATTTTTTGGCATCAGCGTCACCCTAAGTGGCCAAGGGCCAAGTGATGAGAGCTGACTTTGAGATCGCCGAAAGTCATTGGCCTCGACCTTCCTGGGGGCGTTCGTCATGTCCCCACCTCTCCAACAAAAAAATAAGAATAATAATAACAACAAAACAACAACAAGTGGCATGGAGAAACAAGCGGCGCCTCGTGGGTAGTTGATTGCAGGTTTGAAAAATTGGGGGGTGTTGGCACTGCTTTTTTTTTCATGGCACCGTAGGGGAAAGATTGGGGGGTTTTGGCACTTGTTTCTTTTCATGGCAACCTTTTGGGGAAGAGAAGAACCTGCAGACACTTGGGCTGAAGGCGAGGAGCACCAGCCTACCCCCTACCCCCCCGCCCCCCCCGCTACTGTATCTCGGGTTGGGGCCAGATCTTGGCGCGGCGCTTGGCGCGGCAGGTGCTCCTCTCGAACCTGAAGATCCACAAGGCCTCAGTCACCAGGCGCGGGTTCTGACAGGTCGCGAGTGGGTGAGTTCGCAGGTCGCGGGTGGGACGGTGGGCACTTCTTGTGCTTGGAGAATTTGAGTGGTAAACAATCTTTTTTTTTTTTCTCTCTCCTCTATCATATATATATACACACACATATATATATATAATATGTATTTGTGGCCGATCCGCTCAAGTGTGAAAAGAGCTCCAAATCGGAGAGTAGCTCCGACTCGGAGCCAGCCAGGCTGGGCCTGTTGGCGATGCTGGCGGCAGCCTGCGGTATTTGGAGCAACTGGCGAAAGGCGGCTTGCTTTCCCATTGTGGCATCCCAGGGTTGTGGGATCACTCGGGGTTTCTCCCACCAATTCTGTGATTCAAGTTGGAATCCCCCTTTGTATGAAGAAAATTGTCTTTGGGGTTAGGCCCTTTCGGTTGTATCACAGAGGTCATTCCCCACAGCCCTGTGAGTTGGGAGTGAGGAGTTGCTTTTCAAGCCACTAATCAGCCACTAAGCCACTAGGGATCCGAGGACGGGGCCCAGTTTGGGTTGGTTTCAAAGGGACATGGGGCATTTTTTTCTGTCCGGGTTTGCACCGCACGCCGCTTCCCTTTATGTTAACTTCGGATAAAGCAGAACCCTTGGTTGATTGTGATATTGGGGGGTGGGCTTTTTTGGGATGTCTGGGTGACACCCCCCTACTAGTACCAGGGTTTGAGCCCCCAATCCACAAAGCTAACCTGTTACCATGGCTGCCGGTTTTAGGGGTTTGTTTTGCTTGCCAACCGACTTGGGGAATTCAAAAAGATCAGGCTTTGGTCAAAATCCAAAGGGATGAGATGAGATTCATCCCTATGAGATCGACCAAAACACCCACCAGCTGGTACAGAGCCTTTCACAGCCGAAGTGTTCCGAGATGACGATCGGTGTCCAGGGCCGAAAAAAAGCCATATAAAAAGATCTCTTTTGCCTTCATTTCTCATTTAAGGTTCATGAAAGCACAGCCAGTGGCAAGTTACAATTGGGGCAGAGTGGCCGAGGTGCGCAGGAAGAACTGCGGGGCCAAGACCTTTGTGGTGGCCAAGGCGCACCGAAGATTAGAGGGTCCCCAGGGTGCGAGCAACTGGCTCTTGAAGGTACGTGCGAAAGGATTCCTTGAAGGATACGCCCAAACAACCAGATGTTTTGCAAGGGAATCCGCTAAATCTCCGA